TAGAACATTACTCTTGCTGACTGTAAATGACGTAAATGCTGCGTAATAATGAAGTATATGTCTAGAATGTTCGGTAAAAGTAGTATAAATGCAGGTAGAATGTAATCTAGGTAGATTGGAGCACAGACTCGAGAGTTAAGAGCGTAGATTCGAGAATAAAAGCAACACAACACTCGGAAGCATTCTTTATCGTTATCAACTGTGAGTTATTGTCGTGGAGAACTTTATCATTCCCGACACTAAGGCACCTCTTTACATTTCTCAATGATATGCTGCAAAACTTTCAAAAGATTTTCTGTTACCGTTTGATGAGAACGAAGTCATATATTTCGTCAAATTTCTAAATATTTCGAGATCGAATTTAATTGAAAACAATCTCATCTCCTAGGCCAGAGGAGCTGCTTTTTTTATAAAATCTTGAAAGAGAGTATCTCGCTAACTGAAAAACGGGCTTTGGGTTTGAGTCCAACTTTCAAAATCTATCATTTGATATCATCATTTGATACATGATACCAAAATTGAGGACAATACATCATTTGATACCTACAAATTTTACCAGCCGTGTAGACGTTTCAAATACATTCAATTTGACAGAGAGTCTTCTTCATGCCAATACCAATTGTGAATAAAAAACTTTGATTTTCAACATGGGATATGTTCCGACATTCTAAATAGGGTGTTTTCAAAAAATTTTCCGGAACCAAGCTCCTGAGCCCCCGTTTCATTTCTCACCTAGTTCTCTCATTCTGTTGTCCATTGCAAAGGGTTTTAAGGATGAATTATGACAATGTTTGCAACAAACTGATTCTCAGTTAAGGCACAATTCGGGGCCCGTTTTACAAGCCCCCAAAAATAAGCAACTTTAACACCTATTGGCGCCCTTTTGCTTGCTTTTCCGGTGGTCGAAGGGTAGCCAGTCCGCCACTGAACTCGACGTTAGATTTAACCCTATAAAAACCAACTGTGATAATAATTAAGAGCACTGTATGAAATGATGATTCAATAAAATTTTATTTGAGTTAATTTCACGAGTTGCTTTCGAGCATGACCTAATTCGATTGAGATGTTGTTATGTTGTTATTTCTTATTCGTTATGGTCTTTTATGCCACGATTCCTCGCGTTTTTCTTGTATCTGCTCTACTAATTTATCGACCTCCTGAGAATTTGATCTGTAAAACCAGGGTAAAATTTGTGTTTCGTGACATTTTCATTCCCTTGGTTAATCTAGGGGTATCTAAGGTTTTGCCATAGCGTGGGTCTCACCTAGCTTGGTGAAGCCACAATACAAGTAGCTTTTTTTATTTTCCCAGCCCTCCCTCCCTAATTTTTTCTGTATGCAAAATGCCTTTTAAGTGTATTTTTGCATGCATTGGCTGATTCAGACTGGATTTCAAGGGTTCTGGAACCCTGTTAAATTTTCCTAAGAGGCAAAACACCAGTTTTCCTTTCACGCTCAAATAAATCGCAACGAGTCCGAACAGCAAATGGGTTCTTGTATCACAACCTTTGCCGCTCTCTAAAATATGGTATCGTGAAAAAAAGGAACCATGTCCTAGCTATGGTAATCTTTCGTAACATATTATACTCCTCTAAAGGAAAGAACCCTGTCGTAGCCATGGCAATCCATTGTCTGTAATTGTTTTCGCCATAAACAAAGGAATCCTTTTGGAACCAATCTCACTCAACTTATTTAAACCGCTGACCATGCATGTTTTCATAATGGCGACGTGAAGCTGCGAGTGAAGGCTATGACTGTACGCTGGTGAAAGCTTGTTTTAAGCCCTCAAACGGGAAGGAGCAGTTTTGGACAAAAATTCTGAGACAAGATGCAATTTTTGTAATCTTCTACTTTACCTTCCCTTTGTAAATTCGAAATCCCCCCCCACCCCTTTCCCCACGAAGCAATGTTGGATTTCTAGCTCTACCATTTCTTCTTTAAAATCATGCATTCAACAATGGATTGGGGGAGGGGGGAAGACACGTTTTAATGAAAATATAAATTTTCTTTCATGAATTTCGGACCGCATATCTCCCTTGGACCACTTCTTTTATAAATCAAAGAGGGGATCTCCAACAAACTTCTCAATTAAAGTTTTCCCGGTTTTTGAGTTTAAAATTTCCTTTCCGACAAACAATTGATCTTCCCTACAATTTATATTCATATTTATTTCATATTCATATAAGATATTTATACGCTAAAAATCCCTTCAGCATGTAAAAAAACGAACTAAATTGAATTTACAATCTAAATACAATAAATTCTCAGGGCCTTTTTGCTACTCTTCCAGGGAGTCGTGTTTTTATTCAGTTTCAGGTCTTGAAATATGATTTTGATTCTCTTTTCAACTTCGCGAGGACTGGCAGTTCCCTGATTGATGTTGTTCCACGCAGTAAAAACTGAATAGTGAAAAAGCGATGCATAGTGAAGAAGAGCTGAATAGTGGAAGCAATGACGGAGCATATTTGAAACTCTGTTTTGTTTAGCGGCTAAAGTGACATTCTCTGCAAAGCAGAGCTCTTAAATGTTAAAGAGAAGAAGTTGATGTCTGAAAGTATCTTTAATCTGAAAAATGATTGTTGAATCATTCAAAGTTCCATTCTCATTATTCATATATGGATTGAATAGGCCCATTTCTTATCCAAGGCTAAGTCCGCAGATTAGCCAATTTTTTGTTATACGTTCATAAGTTGAGGAAGAAAACTCACAACAATTCTTGAAAAGGTTACTATTTAAGATGTCTAAATGAACCTGTTAATGTTGCCCGCATTTTTAATTAATTCCAAGGATTTCTATAATTTTACTTTTAGCATTGTCTTCTCGCTCCACAACTTCATGAAGCATAAATGTCACAACATAATGGCAAGAATTTAACTTTGATTGGAAAATCAAACAACTTAAAGCATTTCAATGTAAGATGAAGGCCCTTTTAAAAAATACAAGGAAAATTATTTTAGAGCTCGAAAGGTAAGATAAAAGGTGCATGATTGAAATTGATGAATTGAAAAGAAGGTTGGTTTGCCATATCATTCAAATAAATAAATGAAGAGAGGTCAACTGCTTTCTACTCATAGCTTCAATACTACTTAAATCTTGAGTGGGACGAAAACCCTGTGTTTATGAAAGTAAGAACTGTACCGTTTGTCATACGTGAACGAAATGAAAAAGCTTTGGATAAATTAGAGGAAGATGGTATCATCGAGAAAGTGGAATTTTCTGAATGGGCGTCACCTACAGATCCCGTAGTGAAAGCCGATGGGAGTTTACGTATTTGTGGAGATTATTCATGCACTATTAACCCCCCCCCCTAACCCTCCCCTGGCGCCACCACTGTCAGTCGCCACTCACAGTGACAATTTAGAGTTAGAGTATGCTATCTATGCGTCAATATTGAAACCGGTTGTTGTTGTTTTCTGCAAACCTGTGAAAACCGGTGCCCATATGTTTCCCTTATGTGAAAAAAATCGGTGACTTAAAAGCATATTCGATACCGCTTTGATACAAAATGATAGAAAATGGAATCATTGTAGTGTATGTCTTCCACGGCTAAGAACTGAATACGCGAGGAAAGGTTTCTATTACATGGGTGCAAAGACTTTTAATGAGCTACCACTGAGTGCAAGGACGTCTGACAATGCATCTGATTTTATGAAAATTATGAACACAATTTATACATAAAATTTTAATTAGTTATACTACAAAATAAATGTTTTGAGACCTGCAGTTGTAACATATTTATATATCTTCTTTTTAAGGTCCTTTCTTTTTACAGGACAAACATTGATAACAGCATTTTCGTAATTGTTGAAGTTTTTATCTTGTTAAATTATTCGTTATTGTTATTATCATTATTATTATTAATACAGATGCAAATCAGAATCTGACGTCTTGTATTGTGGGAATAGACTTTCGCTTTCAGAAAAAATTCATGAGAATATGAGTCGAAATTGCTAGCGGAGGAGCACTGGAGGGGGGGGGGGAGGGCTCACTTTTTGAGAGATAAAATTTTTTTGAACGTCTTTTCTATATCATTTTTTAAAAAGTCATATGAAATGAAAGGAGAGAAATCTGTTTGTATACTGCTTGATTTTATTTGATCTATTTACTAACTTATTGGCGAATCATTGCAATGTCTGCATTGTAGATGTGTTAACATGGCCTACTGAAAATAAGCGAGATAAGGTAAATGCACATTTCTGTTCCGGAATTAAAATTTTCTCAATCAATACCAGGGGTGGATCCAGGATTTTTGATGACTATAGTTCAAATCTTTTGGAATCGGAACCACGCCCTCCTTGCTTGCGGGACACGCCCACTATATGGGCAAATGATAAACCATGTGTGTTTATAGTTGCTTCGTATTCATAAATATTCCTTCGAACATCCTTTTTCTATTTCCAGGGACGCCAGAGAAGGGGGTGTGGGGGTACAACCGCCCCTGTTGCCTTTTGACAGAAGGGGCAAGGGTTGTTTTTAATAAAGTTGCCTTGAAACTGACCAATTGTAATAATCAGAGAGATTCATATGAAATTCTGAACTTCTCAATCATGTAAAATAATTCCTTGTGCCGAAAGTTAGCCAATGTTGAAGATACCTACAGATAATAAAATTGCGTATGAATTTGTAGAAGCTGAGAATTATCTTTCAAAAGCCCTTTTACTCAAGCCTGCCCCCCCCCCTCCTCTTTCCGCTTGGTCGTTCCGCCGTCCCTGTCTATTCCCTAGTAGGTCCTTGCCTTTGAAGCTACATTACAGTGGGCCCAGGATGTGAAAACGAGCTATAGTCCACTGTTGCTTTACAGGGGACAGAGAGCGGAGAAATACTCATATTCTATTGGTTAAAAGGTCATTTTCAAACCTGACTATAGTTTGACTATAGCTCGCGCCAAAAATTATGGTACGGGTTTCATTTCATTGTCATTGTCAAAACTATGGTACGGGTTTCGATGCCTTTTCCAGAGCAAATCCCCAGACCGACTATAGCTCGGAATATCCACTGTAGCTCAATTCTGGTTGGTTACTATCAACAAAGAACGAAACTTCTGATTCGTCTAAGTTTTAATATTAGATCATTCTGCGCTCAGTGTTTTATATCTTATCTGTAGAGGCATTGTGATGACACATTGCCAGCAGTGCATGTTTGTTAATCGCATTTCATAACCTATACCGCTGCTTTCAAATGTGAATTCCGAAAATCAAACACTGAGATTTTGACTATAGCTCGAGCTACAGTTGCTATAGTCTGGATCCGCTCCTGAATACAACAGCTTCTTGTTATTCACATCGATATGCACTTTGAACCAAAAGTCATTCTTCCTTTCTCACCTCCGCCCCTCCCAATTTTGTCCTAATAATCAGTAAGCAGTTTTTTTAAGATCATCGAATTCTCTGTTCTGAGGGTCATAGTAATTTGTTAAATTTTAGTCTGGGAGATGAATCTTTAGCCATTCTAGAAGGCTGAATTTCAAAAATTTTCTTTCGCGTCGCACCCAACGATGGTGGGTCCTCCTAAAATCTGGAATTCACTCTCGGAATCAATAAAGACAGCAATTTGATCAAAACTTGGTTCCTTGAAAACAGTAGCCTGCGTGCAGACTTTACTAACCGTTGCGAAGGAGAGCCATGGCTCTCCTTCGCAACGGATAGTAAATTCTGCACACAGGCTATGAAAACAGGTGCGCATGCTCGTTTTGCAGTAAATGAACTGTCTTATGCAATCCTTGACACTATTGTAAAAACTAACTTTAAATAATCTACAATACAATACAATACAATCACTAAATTTGATTCTCAGCTCCGCTCCCACGCTAACGACCTCTTGAAATAACTTTCGCCGAAAAAAAAGTTTGTCTTCAGGTTTCTTCAAAAATACCGACATTTGTAAAAGAAAACCCATTTACGAAAGGTCAGCCGCAGCCGGCCCTTGCACGTGACAGGGACGGGATCCACGCTAGGCCTTCGGGGGGAAACTACACTGATCTATAAAAAGTCTTGAACGAGCTTCTAATGTGACCAGAGTGTCGCCGTTCGAGAAGGGGGCCCCAGAACAGCCCATGCGAGGAGACGGCCTTCTCTGTCACCCCTAGCAATGTTTTCAGCTGCTCTGGCCTTTTTCAGCAATCAGTAACACAGCATTGCAGCATTGCAGCCAGTGGCGAAGCGAGAGGTCATGCAGGTCATGCAAAGCATGACCAAAAAGATTTCTAGAAAATTATTTTTTACTCTAGGACCAAAAGCTCTAAAAAGTTTAGATGGGGGTTTTTTAACATTGAAAGTTCTCCAAAATCAAACAAAAATTATTCTTTGCGTACTTTTATGTAACTCCGTAGGCGCAAACGTAGGGTTTCTACATTTGAAACTCAATAAAGCTCAAGGGTTTCCAATTTAGTCATGCAAATATCACAGGGATCCCAATCTAGTCATGCACTTTCAAATGTGCATGACTCAAACCCTATCTTTAGTCATGCAAAACCACGCGCAACAATGGAAACAGCCCTGGAAACATGATGATTATCACGCTTTAGTCATGCACTTTTGGAATGGCATGACCATGACCTTGATCGCATGATCGCATCGCTTCCCTGTTCGAGTTCAAAAAGTGAGACTGAAGAGGAAGTATGCTAGTTCACGAGGAAAGGGATTTCGTGAAATGTTACCCTGCAAGTAATATAGCAGCAACGAAATGTGGAAAAATAACAGTTCCATGGTTTTAAAGGATTGATGTAGCAAAATAAAAGTTGGCAGTGGAACAGATTCTTCCTGTTGTGGACTATGTTTGCTAACACATATATTTAGGCAGTGGCGGATCCAGACTACCGCCATTACCGCTCGAGCGGTAGTCAGATTATTTAAAAAATTATAGAAACAAGGATCATTTTCATGTTTATCCTACTACTTTAATTAAACCATATTTAATTATTGAAAATATTTGATCGCGCTGCAAACCAAGCCTTTCTTCCTAGGAACATGCCTGAAATTTCCACAGAGACAGAAATATTTTTTAATGCTTATCGCTATGGAAATTGCGTGCCAATTGCCGAGCCACATGTTTGCAAATAGAAGGCTAGCATGGGGGGATGATGAAATCATAGCTTGCTAGCTAGGGGGGTTGAGTCGGTGTAGAGCGGATTCGAGCTGCACTGAGCGGTAGTCGCCTGCCTAAACCAATCAAATCGTCAGAAATCACTGCCAACCTGGGGGGATGCATACAAATTTTGTTGACAACCAATGAACAACCGAGTTGACTACCGCTCAGATGGGGGGTTGAGTAGTACTGCCGCTCAAAGCGGCTCAAACGTTACAGAAAGATGGGGGGATGCCTAAATATTCTGCAAACTGTAACTTCAAAGCCGATGTGACCCATTATTTTGTACAATACACAACTAATCGTAGGAATATATTTTAAAAGAACATTAAGACTCATATTCTAAGATTTATTCTAAAATTCAGAAATATTCTAGAATTTAAGAAGGCATCAGGATTAAAAGTCAGGCCCACAATATTCGCCAAAAGTATGATTCTTTGTTTAACAAAAGTTGCTCTCAATAATTTCAAATTTTATCTAGCTTTTTAAACTTGTAATTTCCAACAGGTCTGATTTTCATAAGTAATTGTCCGACTAAATGTGAGTTTTAGGCGGCACTTCAAAATTTATCTTTTTTTCTAATTCTATGGTGTTCCTCGTCTCAATGCCGTAATTTTTATAGAATATCCATCCTCAGAATATTGAATAAGATTATTTATTTCTTCTCAAGCTTGTTGTAAGGATACATGAAATTTCAGTAAAGCACAGCTTGTCTCTTGAAAATGGTCTACATAAGAAATTATAGAAAGCAATAATCATTTTAGAAAACCGGGTGTGACCAAGAAATGGGTGCGGTCTAAAGGGTGTGGTCATCCCTCTATCTCATTTCGGCGGTAGTCAGATTTTTGGCTGGATCCGCCACTGTTAGGCCTGTGGGATATGACATGCACGAACTAGGCCTACGGCGCCTGATAATAAGGCAGGCAACGCTCATATTGCAAGAAAAAAAATGAAACAAACTGCCTGGTTTTAATATCATTATATTGCTGTACAGATTATTGGCAAGCCCAAAGTATTCCATGCTTTGATAATGGAATGGCTAGTGGACTTACATGCTAAATTTCCATTGAAATATTCAGAATGAGTGTCTCTAGAACTTGTTGTTAGTAGAAGAAACACAAATGCTTCATTGTTGTTGCTTTTTAGAGACATGCAATGCAAGTTTGAGATACAACGAGGCATGAAATTAGTGTTGTCTTAACCTTTTCAGTATTTATCTTATAATGGCCTTTTTTGTTATGATGTTTGTGAGATGGGAGTATTGAGATTGTTTCAGAGGAGAACTCTCCATTTTCTGATTATAATCTGTTTTGATAAATTAAGAATAATGAATTAAAAAAAATGAGGTATAGCATGAACATAGACTAGGGGGCATTAATTTTTTTATTTGTAAAATTACACTATTTGTACTTATAAATACAATAGTTCTAAGTAAGGAATTATTGAAGGGTCATCAAAAGTGTATTTATCTTGTCAGGGCAAAAATGTGTTTATCTTATCCTTGTCGAAATGTGTTTATCTGCTCTTGAAATAGTAAATATTTATAAATTGAATGTCAAAGTTTTCAAGCAAGTTAACATTAAAAACAAGTTAACATTTTAATTTCAGAATTTAAAAACATGTTTAGCACCTAAAGCCAAAGCTTCATCAAAACATGTCTCAAAAAAGTTCTGAAAATTATTCTTTTGCAAATTTTTAAAAGTTTTATGCCCACCTAAGGCTTTTCTGGGTATTTTCACAATCAGGGGCGGATACAAACAAAACTTTAACATTCTCAAAACCCATTATAACCGACCGACCACGCCCTTTTCCCGGAAACGCCCAAGAAATTGTTTTCTGTCTTTTATGGATGCAATGATTAAAATTATTGAAATTTTAAGAGGAGGAATAGAAACAAACAATATGAAGTGGCAGACACCCAGGGGGATGAAGGGAGGTAGTTGTCCCCCAACATTTTGGGAAGACAGAGGTCTTTTATTCTAAAAAGAATGGACAAATGTGATGTCATCTTATCAAAAAACTAGGCTTGCCCCCTCATATTATTGCCCAAAAAAACAATGATGCAACATTAAAGAATTGCTTAATAAGCATAGCAACACTAGTAATTGAAAATTGGGTAATGCAGGGAAAAATAACACAAAGATCAAGACAAAATGTTTGTGGCAAATTGTGCTTGGTTTTCTAATGGTTTAACATGTGGAATTTTATAGAAAGAAGTGTAGTTTTGTGGACATCCAAATTATTGATAAAAATTTAAGGACACAAGATTCATCATAGAAGAGAATTATTAACGAAAGTTGACCAATGAAATTACTAAAAATGCAGGCACTTTTCAGAGCATACAAGCCACAGAAACTTAGACAAAGAATTGGGTAAAAACCTTTTCTAGTAACAAAAATAGACTGCTAAGGCTAGTCAACTTCTTTCTGGATGCTAACTCTCTTAAATGCATCATATCTTTTGGCATATGATAATTGCACTGCTTTAGAGTAAAATATTTCTGCATCAAAGTCAAAGTCTGTATATCTGTTTCAGATTTGTTGTTCATCATTTGGAAATACATGGAAGAAAAATTACTTTGGGATGACTGTCTATTTAGTAGATCCATCAAATTTAAATTTGAATCTTCTGAGGCCTGACACTTTATACTAAACTTCCCTCTGCTTAGCTTTCAGAAGCACTTTCTTTTGCCAAAGAAAATGAATATAATTTTTTGGCTTCATAATCTTTCCTTCCACAGATCAGGGGCGGATTCAGGGTGTCGCACAGGTCGCACGGAAGACCGTCAGATTTTCAGAATTTAGTTTAAGTCTTCAGTCATTGAAATAAGGCAATCATGTTTATCACAATCTTTTATTGTCCTCCTTAAAGATAATACATTTTGCTCTCTTTACACAATAAACACAGCACCGAACTTGGTCGATCTCACACACAATGCTACGATTTAATTCAAGATAGAAAAAATTCCAATACCATCCTAGACCGTAAACAGTATGATTTTTAAGCATGTCGCCCTTTGCAGGGCTCTTTGTTATGTAAATATTTTACCAAATCTCACCAATCAAAATTCAAGTTTTCACACATTTGTGCGGCACTAAAAGTCTGTAAACACTATGTTAGATTACTGTGCCGCACAACAGCTGACAAGGGAAGAAAGTGGATGAGGTGCACAGGAAGTGATCATGAGGGAGGGAGGCCTCCTAAACCGCCTGCTGGGCAGTGTTAATGTGCGACCGTCAACTTTTATTCTGTATCCGCCCCTGCCACAGATGCAATAGACCTTGTTCATTATTGGCTTAGTATCAATGTTTTTAAAATAGAACACAACAGCCCGTCATAGCACAAAACTTTTCACCAAGGGCTGTGACAACAAATCCTATTCTGCTTGGTAACAATATCAGTAACAAGACTGTAAGAAAGTAATGACCTCTCTAACTGTTAAAATCTCTCTTAACTTTTTCACAGTTAGTTCTTTAAATTAAATTACAGCAAAATTGAAATTCAACTTGCAAATAAATAGCATGTTATCTAAAAAAAATTAAATAGCTATTAAAACAAACTAAAATGTATTCATAAACATTATATTACAAAGATAGACAACCATTGAATCATTGAATGAATATTCTAGTTCTAGTTAAATTCAGAACCACCTGAGTCTCTAGGCCCAGTAGCAGCAGCACAAAATGGACCCCTATATAAAATTTATCAGCTGTACCTTAAAGTCTGACCTCTCTTTCTTTCAACAAGGTTCAGTCAGCAAAATGAAACAATTCTTTTGCCACAATAAATGTCGAAGGTTGTGTGTTACGATCTGGTTCTGGAGCCTAGGCCCTCCCGGCAGACTTGTTCCCTATTCCCTAGTCAGCGAAAAAAATACTCCTCGATGGTATCCAAAGCACAATCGGTCAATGACTGTTTCAATTCTTCCAATACATCCATACTTGCAATGGGTTCTTGAGAAATTATTCTCTAATCAAGCACAACCAAGCACTGCCACTGCCACTGCCACTGTAGTCTGGAGTCGTTTGTGGATTCTTGATCACGTGAAGTTTGTGTTCCCTGTCAAATTTCGCTACTTGGTGGACCAGCCCACTAACTTCTCAAGATTCTCAAACTGCGACGTAGGCAAGACCTCACAAAATAAATGTTAAACATATGCCAGATATACCCTAAGAAAAGTGAATGGGTTTAATACGTCATTCTGGCGAATTTTCCTCTCGTTAAAATCTTTCAGGTCGACCTCTTCTAAGGGACAAAAATGAATTGAAATTCTCTGCGTGCGCATGCAGAAACTGCGTGCAACTTTCTAAAAATGTGAAGGAACTTCTCAAAATGCATGGCAACAGTCGATAAACATTCTCAAAATCATGCCTAGATACAGGACGCGGCGCAGCCTCTTACTACTCTCCTGGGTACTAGGTTCAATGAAGGAGAATTTGGTTTTTCATCGGAGAAGATCTAAAAATGTTTCGCAAAGGTAAAACGGAGTAAAATATATCAAATACTGCGATGGTGTAGAAATAAATACCTAAAATACATAATAAAAAGATGTATGCTTATCTTGAATCTTAAACCTGAGCTCATTCATTACTTTTAGTATTTTAATTAGAATAATCAAACTGGGAAAATCTGACATTCTCAATTGAGAATGTTGAGAATGTCTCGATCCGCCTCTGTTCACAATGGCTGAAAACACTTTTCTCAAGGGAACTGATCTAACCTTAACTTAAATTGGGTACTTTGCTGTGGTGCCAAAGACCCTGTTTATTTTTTTGCCCAAGTGCATGACCAACTCTCCAGAGCTGGCTTCGCCACTGATTGCAGCTCTCGCGTATCCATATCGTTGAAATATTGGTTTTGAGGAATGGTTACCCGCTATTGTTTGGGGCCCTCTTCCTTTTGAAATTAAATGGGTTTCAAACTTTGGTGTTTCAAGACAATGGGAAGCTCGTTCCAGTCTTTTTTATAGATCTGTGGTGAAACTAGGAGTTAGCTAAGTGAAGTGAAATAGAAAGTTGTTTTCCTTTGCTGTGCAAGGTTTCAGGCTTGTGCTCTGTGCAAGGTTTGAGGTATGTGCTTGTCCTACTATTTGATTTTACTTATTTTTATTTCATTTTTGCCTCGTGATAAATAGGCCTGTAACAAGACCACTTGCTTCTTTAAGATATATTTTAAGACCGCGGAGTCTACTACCTTAATTAGGCCTTCTAATTCTTTGACAATCATGTACCCTACACGGTTTTAAACAACGTGAGTTGCCAGACTTCTTTATTCTATTACATCAAAAAGTAATCCCCAATATGCTTAGTAATGTAATGCTTAAACATCCCCAATATCATGTCATCTTAGATAACAGGTTTTCCAGACACAGATTTCTGTTAAAATTTCACCCTTAGCTTGACTGTTTCATAGCGTAAAATGCAGATTCCTAGGCCATTCCCAAATTGTTTCATATTTATAAACGGTCCACAGCTTGAACGCCTCGATTTTAAACACAAAGTTGGTCAGAATTTCTAATTCCCTCCTTGCGATGGCAGTCGAAAATATTGCGAACTGTAATGTAAGAGGGAAGCTTTTACGAAGAACATTTGCAAGAGACAAGAGAACAGCAGATCCATCTTCATGCCTCCAGGAAGTTTGAGCTTAAGGAAGCACATCCAACGCTCAAACTACATTGCAAGCCTTTGGAGACCGATTTGAAGTGCCATATCCCGAAAAAAGGACAATTGCGTCAGTTAAGCCTTGTTTACATTACAACTTTTAACCTGGGTTAACATTAACCTGGGTTGAACCCACTTTCGTTTACACTATCTATATTTGCAACAAAGTATAGTGTAAACGCAAAATTGGGTTGAACCCAGGTTAAGCTGCGTCTACACGGAGCCGCCCGAATATTTGGTCGGCCAAAAATGTGCTTGTCTTGCCTGAGCTATAACGCAATTTGTGGTCGATGTTACCCTGGGTTCCACACAATCAAATGTAGCATGTCCTCCTCCGCATTCTCACACAACGCACTATTTCCTCGTCGCTCCACTTGCTACACTTGACGCTGTGGAAACCCAGGGTAGGTCGATGTTTGATTCCAGGGAAAAAACTGCCTTAGTTTTTTACCCGCCAATCAGACTGATACACCTGTCACACAATCGAATGTTTGTGCGAGAAGTGAGTCAAGAGAAGGCAGGAGGAAGTACCGTATTTCATCTAAAGAGCGCCGCGGCGTTTGTTACAAACTCCAAATTTTGGGTGCGGCTTTCATCGGAGAGCGGCGTTCATCAGAGGGCAGCGTTCAATACAAAATGAAAAGTTTGTTAAATGAAAAATGACAAGAAAAATGCGATGAAAAAAGATAAAAATAAGATGTCAAGTCAAGGGTCAATATCAATGTCTCAGTTAGAGTCCTCGTCTCTATAAGATAAAAACTTTCATGGCTTTCGAAAAGTAAGCGTAAAACAGATTCCTTACTTCTTGTTTGGTGTGTTTTCTAATGAACGCCGCATTTCAAGATGCGTGGTTTATCAGGGAGCGGCATTTTTTCCAAATGGTTGGCTGAAGGTGCGGCGTTCAGTAGAGGGCGGCGTTTATTAGAAGGTGGTATTCATTAGAGGAAATACGGTATGTAAGGAGATATAGCAAGAAGGAGAAGGACTGACGGGGCTACCGTGCCTAAATAATGAAAAATGTAATGTTATGTATGGAAAACCCATACAACATTACATTTGTATTTGTATATAACTTGAGTACATATTGAGAAATACGTACTCAAGTTGTAAAACAATAAACTCCATGTATATTTGAATCCCGTACTCGAAGAAATGCTTTTACTATTCTGGTCTAAAGGCTTGGAACGAAATCCCTACTACCATCAGGAAGCTTTCTACTTTGAAACAATTTAAAAAGCACCTCAAAATACATTTGTAAGCACGACTCCCTGGAAGATCAACCCCACCCTAGTTGTATATTTCTTTTGAATGATTGTAAATTTAGTTTTTGCTGATTGGATTTCGTGTATATAAATAATATATGATAACAATAAAAATGATAATAATATATTGGATTAGTTTTTTTCCAGTCCTTAAATTTTATAATCAATCTCTAACGTTTTATTCAATCCCTGAAATTTTATTTAATCTTAATTTCTATTCAATCCTCAAATTCTATATTTAATCTCACTGGGAACGAGCGCGTCAATTTGAAGTCGAGGCTGTCGTGTTTTGGTTGAAAAGAATTAAGACCTTGTATGCCATCAATCAACAACCAATTGCTGTCAGTGCAATACCACAGCACATGGCGGCTTATTCGAGGGTTTGTTTCACAAAAATTACTTAAGGTTAGGGGTTTAGTCAAGGGGGGGGGGGAGAGCTTATTCAAAGTTTATACTCTGTAAAGCGTCCCACGAAAAGTGCTTTGTTTCCGGTATTTCGTGCAATCTTCAGGTATATTTGACTTAATGGACTTCTACGCGGTAGGATTTGTTAAAATTTTAATAGCACTATTGGTTAGTGCAAACATAATTTGCTTCATTCGAATTAATCTCAATGTTACAATACAATATATGAAAAATAGAGATATTGTTTTGTCACGAACAGTAACGTTTATTTGAACAATAACGCTTTCATCATGTTGTGAGCTGTAAGATTATACTCCGTCTTAGTATTCGCCGTTATGGAGGAATTTATGTTAAATCGCTTGTTACTGTGCGTAAAGCTCCTCATTTTAACATCCAATGCCATTTTGGCAGTACCGTCAAGAACCATCTTGGGCTAAGGAGGGACTCCTAAAACTTGTTTCTGTGGCCAACTCTTTTAGATACAATTTTCTAAAAGTTTGGTGCAAAGATTGTGCAAAAATGTTTAGTTCATGAATCAAGAGACGCCGTTTTTCTCAGTGATCAACTTATAGAAGTTTATTTCATAAAAGTAGCTTAAAATAGTATTTGTAACAATTTGATAGTAATATGGTGTAAGACAGTTGTCTATTTTTTATTTTTCCCGCTAAAACACTACGGTGTCGACTTCAAATTAACATGCTCGTTCCCAGTAAGAGTGAATGTAAAATTTTCGAATTGAAATAAATAATCAAGGATTGAATATAAAATATGATTAAATATGAATTTTAAGATAGGAATAAAAATTTTTGAATAAAAACGTTATTGATTAAATATAAGTTCAAGGATTGAATGATAAAATTGAATAGATCACAAACTTGATATATTGAATTATGAAAGAGTAAAATGAAGCCAAAAAATTGAGTTTGGAATTGAAAATAGATTTTATTGAATATAAACAGTGCATGTTTGAATATTGTTACAAACGGCCAGCCATACTCTTTAGAAATGGTATTGAAAATCTAGATATTCAAGATGCCACGCCAGTATTTATGCAAATCGACGAGGGTTCCGATTCGGAAGAAATTGACATCTTGTAGCGGCCTTTTTCTGGTAGCGGCAATTGACATTCAATAATTCACAAAAGGTAAATGATCGGCATGAAGTCTTGGTACAGTACAAACTGTACGCAAAAAGTTGGCATGTTTCGTGTGGGCTCGGAATTTTGGAAGAAAATACTTTGCATATGGCTTGAAGTTAGATAGCTAGTGATATTTAGAGCACAAGTACAGCACTAATTCCATCCACATCGCGAATTGTTTGGTTTTTTAGCGCACTTGAAATACAGTGCTTGAGCCAGCATCACTTCAGTGACTTGAAAACCTAAATGCATCAAACATTACTGAAATTCCTCACAGACCGCGCACAGATTTTCCAACAAAAAGTCTTTAAAATCGCAACTTAAAATCGTTAACATTTCCTGACTTGACCATCGAAATCAGGAGCACTGACTTGACAGAGAACATCAAGAAAAAGACTTAAGATTTTTTCATTTCAGTTGCACTTTAGGGAAAGATAGCAAGGAATTTTTTAATGATTAAATGTTTTTTAAACCCTCTTTTGTTTCAGATTGATTGCAGCTTATTATATTGTATTTTGAGATGACGTCGCAGCTTGAATTCTACGTCAACGGTTAGTAGCCTCTTGTTGATTCTTTAGAAGAATTTGCAGTCTTGATTCCTGGAAAGAGTTTGTTACTAAGCTGAGGAAAGCAAATAAAACAACTGCGAAAATCCAACATATAGTAGAATATATTTTTAGAATGAAGTGAATCGACTGAAAATCTAATTTTTTGCTCTGGTTAACTGTTTTTCATAGAATTTAATCAAAGCATCGCGAGAATTATCAATATAAGCAATAAGATAACCATAGTGGTTCAGAGTCAAAAGACAGATTGATATTAAGACAACTTTTATGGTTTATTATTCCTTGAATTGGCTTGGAATCCCTATATGCATATCACACGATTTGTCCGTTGCTTGTACGGACCTTACTTTCGCTCAGCATACACTCTGACCTTTAAGCCCCTTTCTTTTTGTACACTTTCGACACATGAGATACTCCAGTTTATAGCTTGTGTGTAATTAGGCTAGCTATGTTTCGGAATAGTGTAAAAATGTAAATCAGTCATTTTAAATCTACAGGGCGGAAAGTCGTGGAGAAAGAACCTGACCCAGAATGGACTCTGTTGTTCTATTTACGAGAAAAACTGAGCTTATGTGGAACAAAACTGGGATGTGGGGAGGGTGGTTGTGGTGCTTGCACTGTGATGGTGTCAATGTACGAGAAGGAGACGAAGACGATTAAGCACATGTCAGTGAACGCTTGCCTTGCTCCTGTTTGTGCGATGCATGGCCTAGCTGTTACTACAGTTGAAGGCATCGGTAGCACGAAAACAAAACTTCATGCAATACAAGAAAGAATGTCGAAGATGCATGCCTCACAGTGTGGATTTTGTACGCCAGGTGAGTAGCACTATATGGACTCAGTCATGCAATCATTGAGAAAGGTTAGATAACATTTCTCTACTTGAAATTTTTTCACTTCTCTGGGAAGAAATGTGCTGACAACATTAGACCTCACCAATGAGGTGAATAGAATACGCTAGAAGCAGTTTTCAGTGCAAGAAGTAAAGCCGGAGAAATCGTATTTGCACGGCAACAACGAAGAGGTGCTGAAAAACTCTTGTATGAAATGAAATATTAGGCAAAGAATTTGAGCGAAAATTCAGTTCGTAACGTAAATAATTCGATTTTAAGGAAAACGGAAAATAATAGCATATTTCTGGACATTAACAGTGATGGTACCGATCGTTGGTTTGGAGGATCTATAGGCTTTTGTGCAGTCCCAAAATATTTTTTAAACAAAACGAGTTTATTGATCTGATGGCGAATACTTGGTTTGTTCTTATTTATGACTTGTCTTTGTAATTTTTTGTCGTATCTTTGCAATCAAACAGTCAATCTTTTGAAGCAGATATTTTTGACGAGGTGTTTCAAGTGGTTACCTTGCAAGGCATTGGTCATGAAACTAGAAGGAATCTAGCAAGCACCAGAGAATTAAATCACCCAATTTAATGGATTGTTATAAAAGTTATAGATATTAGAAAGGCGTTACTAAGTTTTATGGATTGTATCTGGTACAAAATTGACCGCCATCAGAATATGACGTCATCTAAAAGTTAATACAATTTTATGCAAATGGCGTTGAATTTTTCTGCTACTGAACGCCTTCTACTTGACTTTGAAGGTTTTTTCATTCTTTGTTCGCATCATGAGAATCCTTTTCTTAAAATAATATTTTTTTCTCCTTCAAACCACTGCTGAGGTAAGGGGTCACGGTTATTTGTTGAATAACCTCTTCGCGATTATTACTTTTTCTCTCTCCAATCGGTAAGGGGTCTAAAATGAAAGAGTAAGGTGTCTACTCCCAATTTTTTGCCTGGTTGTAGACCTTAGGCAAAGGTTAGCGCACCCTGGCGATCCCTGTCCGGGAAAACGGCTTCAGTGCATCCTGAAGATCTACCGTTTTGATTTGGCCTAGCAATCCAGGAAGCCAGTAAGGAGGCTATTGTGATTGACAGCTTTTGCAATTGGCAGCTCTTGTGATTGACAGCTTTTGCGCTGTCCTTGACAAACTAGAGACTTTTCAACTTGTTTGAAAGAAATACAATGGCTTACAATCAACAGCAACAACAACACAAATACAAAAAAAGAATTTTAAAGCAGCAAAGAGTGCAATTGTTAAGACTTTTTTTTATAACATTGAAACTAAAGATTAGGAATGAAACGTCAGCAAACAGAAAAGAAGTTACAACGATTGAATTATTTCGTTTTACAGGAGGTGTTCGTAATATAAAACAACTTAGCATTATCAGGTCCGCCAAACAAGTCACAAATTTGAAATTTCATCTGACTTTTAAATAGAACTGCTTTCTCCCTGTCACATGGTTCATTGATAAAACTCTGTTGTCGCTAACAATCTATGTGACGTCTAAGGCCATCAAGACCTCATTGCCTTGTTCATTTTCTTTCAGGTGTAAAATCTGCATGCCATGTTTTGATTGGTCCGTTTCCTTTTCAGGAATTGTGATGTCCATGTACACTCTTCTGCGGAATACACCAAAACCATGTATGGCTGATGTTGAGGAGTATTTCAAGGGGAATCTCTGTCGTTGCACTGGCTACCGACCGATTCTCGAGGCGATGAAAACCTTTTGCATTGCAGAGACAAAAGAAAGGCCAAATGAAAATGAAGAGTGTGACGGCGGAGAAAGCAGCATGGTAAACAAGATGAATGAATTCACGATTGGCTTCTCTGAAAACTGTGAAGGTACAAATGGCGAAATTGGCAATTCTTTAGAGAAACAATCGACAAACGCTGGGATTGATCACATAAAAGAAGCACAATTGGCAGCAATGGAAAATACCAAGGTGCAGATGAATGGGTTTCCTGATATGCACGACAACAGAAACAGTTGTTGTGGAGCAGGTGAGAATTGTTGCAAAAAGTCAACAGCTCCTGACAAATGTGCCGGCATTAAATTGAAGGAATCTCTTGAAGTACCTGATGCCACGTCCCTCAAATTTATTCCATACGACCCAAGTCAAGAGCCAATTTTCCCACCCACTCTGCTCCTTTCCAATGGAATAAAATCAGAGAGTTTGGTTTTCCAAGGCGAAAGAGTCACCTGGTACAGACCAACAACTCTAAATGAACTATTGTCATTGAAGGAGCAGTTTCCATACGCAAAGATCGTTGTTGGAAATACTGAAGTAGGACTTGAGACCAAGTTCAAGCACCTTGAATATCCTGTCTTGATACACCCAAGTCACATTAAAGAGTTGAAAGAAATATCTATCCTGGAAAATGGTGTGACATTTGGGGCCTCAGTGACTCTTGATGAAATGGAAACTGTCTGTCGAAGAATGATCGAAAAACTACCGGCCTACAAAACCAGAGTGCTCAGTGCTTTTGTCGAAATGATGCAATGGTTTGCAGGAAAACAAATACGATACGTGGCAGCAGTAGGTGGAAATATCATGACTGGCAGCCCAATATCTGACCTAATTCCTATTTTTATGGCCTCTAAATGCCGACTTGATGTAGCATGCAAGAATGAACAAAGGTCGCTGGAAATGAATGAAAAGTTTTACGTTGGCTATCGAAAGACGTGCCTCAAACCAGAAGAAGTATTAGTATCCATCACTCTACCATTCACTGAAACCAACGAATATTTTCAAGCTTATAAACAAGCAAAAAGACGCGATGACGATATTGCAATTGTAAATGCAGCTTTCAGAATGGTCGTGGAAGGAGCTTTGGTTAAGGACGCTACATTCTGTTATGGGGGACTTGCACCTTCTTCAAAATTGGCTCTTAAAACTATGGAGCTTCTTCGAGGGAAACAATTAGGAGACGGAACTCTTGAAGCAACATTGCGGTCAATTTGTTCTGAGTTTAATTTGCCTCCAAATGCTCCAGGGGGTATGGTACGTTACAGAAGATCATTGGCAATGAGCTTGTTTTTCAAGTTTTTCCTTCACGTTGCAGAAGAGATAAATGTTGTGACGTCTGGTCTATTGAAACATTGCTCAAGTGCAACAGAGAAGCTCCATAAAGGTGTAATCAAGAGCCATCAGTTCTTTAAACTGTCTGATGGGGAGAAAATGGTAGTCGGAAAGCCGATACCACACAAATCAGGTGATCTGCACACGACAGGAGAAGCCGTGTATGTAGACGATATGGCCAAGACGAAAGGCGAGCTTGAATTAGTGTTTGTCACAAGCACAAAGCCCCACGCCAAGATACTGGACATAGACCCATCTGAAGCATTGCTTATTGACGGGGTTGTTGATTTTGTGAGCCACAAAGATTTACCTCCAGAACGAAATTTAACGGGTATAACTGGTATTTCAAATGATGAAGAATTGTTTGCATCTAACGTCGTGCACTGTGTTGGGCAAGTGATTGGTGCTATTGTTGCAACTGACAAAAACATTGCAAGAAGGGCTGCAAACAAAGTAAAAGTTTCTTATGAAGAACTTCCTGCAATCGTCACAATAGAACAGGCAATTGCGGCTAATTCGTATTATGGTGACTTGATTGAGTTGAAGCGAGGAAACGTACAAGAGGAATTTGATAAATGCGACCACATCATAGAAGGGACCATGAGGACTGGGGCGCAGGAACATTTCTATCTTGAGACCCAAACATGCATTGCATTTCCTTTGAATGAGAATGACGAAATCATAATTTATTCTGCCACCCAGTCCCCGTCTGATACGCAGAAAGTCGTTTCGAAGGCACTTGGTGTGGATTACAACCGCATCGTTTGCAAGACCAAAAGATTCGGAGGTGGTTTTGGTGGCAAGGAGACGAAGGCATCTATCATAGCTGCTGCTGTTGCTGTTGTTGCTTGTAAGGTGAGACTTTTCTATCAATATTTCTTTGATGCTATAGAATCAGACACCGAGAAGCTCATTGTTTTATCTCAGCCATAGTAATTAGACTTTGGAGCACAATCTCATTAAGAATTCCACTTTTAGGAGATGAGAATTCTTGTAAGAGTGTCAGGTCTCCACTTGCTTAAAGCAAAGCAATTTCCCGCTCTTTTCTATCTACATTTTGTCAGTACACGTCACTATTAGTAATGAAGAACTCAGTTAACTGAATCAAGATATGACCTGACAATAAATGACCCTGCATCCATTTAGCGTGAATATTATCTTCATTTGGTACATAATGACTTTTGCTTGCAAAGTAAGACGTTTTTCCGTGTCACAATGAACATTTTCTTCACTTTTTTTAGTTATTGCTTGTTTAATGAACATTAGTCTCGTAATTAATTCACTAACCATTTGCACGTGACTTTAGTTGTTGATCAGATAACTGACCTTATTTTGAACCAGATTCTTTTGTTGTTACACCTTCCCAGCCGTTCATATTGAAATAGTCAATTTAGAGGTAACTCCTTCAGTGTCGTTATTCGCAAGATTTATATTGCCAGTATCTTTGCTATTTTGCCATCATAAGCATATCTCATTACCTGCTCACAAATTCACTGTAATATCTATAAATCTCCTCTTTTGCCAGATTGGTAAACCAGTGCGAATCATGCTTGACAGAGACGAGGATATGATCATGACGGGGGGTCGCCATCCATTTTTGAGCAAATACAAAATTGGTTTCAACAAAGATGGGCACATTATAGCAGCAAACACAGATCTGTATTCAAACGCTGGCTGGAGCGTCGATCTGTCTTTAGCGGTACTTCAAAGAGCTGTAATGAATTGCCAAAATTCTTATTTTATTCCATTTCGGAGGACATCTGGGCGCTGTTGTAGAACAAATCTCGCTTCCAACACTGCTTTCCGTGGATTCGGGGCTACTCAAGGTATGTGACACTTGATCAATAATCCAATGACAACTCTCCGCTTGCTTAACCTAAATTTCTCAACTTTGTCTTTCCAATGAAATTCTATTAGTCAAAGACCTGTTCATGCTATAGCGGTAGCGGCCCTGAAGATAGAGCTTCATAATGAAAATAGCTGTACCAAGGTATTTAAATGTTCTAAGATGGCTGTTTTGTCAATAATTTTAGACTTCATCAAGGCATTGGAAAACAAATCTGTTGCATAAATGTTTTTGAGGTTTTCCCATTTCCAAACAATATCAACGATTGCACAAAACGAGAACTGAGCTTTAATGATAGGAGTACCAGTGACATATATTTGCAATTAAAAATATTTTTCTTTGCACAAACATGATTACTCTGAAATGAACAGCGGATGTCACAAACCGTCAAATCGATCTTTCTTGTCCATTGTCATGTTTTTTACGAACAAAATGACACTGGAACTGCCCAAACATATTTTCATCTCTTTATTGTATGAAAACAGAAACATCAAACGCTTACAGATAGAGCACTGATAATTTTTCCAAGTCTAAACTTGTCTCGGAAATTGAACAACTAAAAACGATTTTTCTGGAGAACGACTATCCAGAGGATGCCATTCAAGTTTACATTGAGGAGAAAAAAGCAAATTTCTCGGCTGACAAAAAAATAGGCCATTACAAATTGTTTCTTTGCAGTGAATCCGCGTATTGTTTACAGTACAACAAAGGCCCTTCCATCTATTCAAAAGGACTGCGTTCCTAAAACACAAAAGAGTTCCGTAGTATATGAATTTACGTGCCAGTTTGATTCTGGCTACGTAGGATGCACAACCGAAAGATTGGAGGGTAGAATAAAACAACATGTTCCGTCTAGTATTAGAAACAAAACTCATCCCCAAAGAGAACAGCCACTTCGGTCTTGTCTTGCAGATCTAAAAGTACAATTAAAACCTACGATTCTGCTATCGGGCAGCATTTACTGGAAAACCCAGATTGTGCAAAAAACTAAAATTAAGACATGTTTCGGATTATTGATAATGCTCGATTTAGCAGTTTTAGAATCTATCTACATAAGCACGAAAAGACCGCTATTGTGTCGACAAAGGAGTTTGTTTTAACCTTAGGACTCAATTGGTAACATTCTATATAGGCAAGCGGCACTGATTGGGCAACCTCAACAGTCATGTGCTCCTGTTTCTGATTGGCCTGTTTCGATCCTCAACTGAGTATATATATTTCCTAGCGTAGAGTTTTCGATCTATGTTCTGACGTATTAGTCTCTGAAGAGTGTCAGAAGAAAAGCTTTAGTTTACTCAAGTGTTTCCTTTTTTCAAAGCCATTTTTAAGAAACATTTCTGCAAGAAAATGACACAGGAATTCCTGAACGAAATTTAGAGTCAAGACTAGTATACACGCATCGAGACTGTCCAAGAAGATGTTATTATTCTTACTTATTTAGAAGTAAGATTTTTCAGATTCTAAATCAGTGGTTTGAGCTTTTGATGGATTCGTTTTCAACAATATACTGACGTTTATTGTTTATCGAAAGTGATTCAAATTTCATCTACCACGTCGTTTACAATGCTGTCGCCATTACTTATTTATCGAGCTGACACAATACTTTTGAAACGAAAGTATATAAGGAAGGGGTAAATGATATACATTTCCTGGAAAATTTCGAACTTTAAGAAATTGTTCATGAACAGCTCAATTCTCTCATCTTTTTTGGGTACAGAAGAAACTCTTTAAATCTTAACAGATGGCCAGAACCACTATATTTTTAGTTTTGGATTTTTAAAATATCATTTATGGTATTGACTGTTTTTGAGTCAATTTTTTCAACTAAACTAAAATATTTTGTTTTGATTCTTTTTTAGTTATTGTTAGGTTATTGTTAGTTTTTGCGGTAGCCGACTGGTACTTTGGTTCGTGATAGTCTTAAGAATTTTGAAAAATTTCCAAAATTGACAGCAGCTTGTCAAGAGAGATTAGATGCCAAAAGAATGGGCGTGCTTTTCTTCCTGGAATTTGTGTTTCCTAAGAATTGAATTTGGCTTTGAAGAGAGCAAGCATTTGAGAAAACTAAAGCTTTTCGCCTGTCACTCTCCAGAGTTTAAAACATCAGAACATAGCTCGAACGATCTAGGCTAGAAACATACACTCCCCTCCCAAAAATATTCGAACTGTCGGGCAAAGTTTTGGGCAAAATTTTTACAAATATCATGTTTTACTGAAAAAGTTAGATAAATACTTGGCGGCAAAATAAAACAATGGCGTCAGAAAATAAGCAAAGGAATACATACACAGCAAAAATTTCATTTGGAGAAAGTTTAACCTTTTCTCAATAGCGCCAAAAATATTTATATTTGGGCACTGGTGAAAACACAAAATATGGATGAAGCTAAGCAAATGGTCATAGAGTTTTTGCGCCGGGCAGGTCAATCATAAGAAGAATTTGTAAAACAATTAGGCTACACGAAGTCTACTATGGATGTAAAAAAAGTTTACTGGGAAAACCTTTCTCAAAGAATTGTAATAGCGCAAAAAATTTTTATATTTGGGCACTGGTGAAAACACAAAATATGGATAGAAGCTAAGCAAATGGTCATAGAGTTTTTGCGCCGGGCAGGTCAATCATAAGAAGAATTTGTAAAACAATTAGGCTACACGAAGACTACTAGACTTGAGTTTGAAAATTTGTGTAATTCAAACTGTTTATACCCAGTTGTTGATCGAAATAGGCCAATCAGAAATGCAAGCACATGACTGTTAAGAATGTTACCAATGGAGCCATGTGAAAACAAACTTTTTTTGTCTACACAATAGCGGTTTTTTCGTGAACTATGTAACAGCAAGTACTTGGTATGACATCAAATAATCCAACAATTAGTTAAGAAATTTAACAGGATTGCAACTGATCTAGAGCAGATAGTTCAAAAATGCACTGCTGTTTCATGTTTCAAAACATCATGACAATAGCAACAGCAGGATAAGTTGAGAATGCACACTTTTTTAAGATTATAATTTTAAGCAATGTTTTGATTATAACTTGCCAAAAACCTATCTTTGCCAAGGAGAAAATTTTGCAAAATATTTTTTCTTTCAATAGGGATGATGATGGCTGAAACATGGATTAATGACATTGCAACATTTTTGGGAAGAGACCCGGCAGAAATCAGAGAGAAGAACATGACCCACTATAACCAGGTTATGGAACCTGGGGTCAGAAGATGCTGGGACAAATGCATTGACCCACTATAATTCCAGGTTATGGTAATCCTGGGGTCAGATAGATAGCTGGGACAAATAGCTGTTTTTTATTGAGAGAGAGCTATTGAAATATATGTTAAAGAAAACAAAGCTGTTTCGCTTTTGCTTCATCAGACAGAAGAGATTGATAGAAACCTGAGGGGCATCCGCCTAATACAATGCATATTGTTAAATGTGTGCTAGGTGTTATGAGAAACTGGGAGAGAAGTGAATAGAAAGGTAGAAAAAAGAATGTGATGGAGATGCTGGTGTTGCCTGGCTCACAAGAGATAAATGATAGCCATAAAATCATAAACACAGCTTTAAACAAATTAGCCGACAGCAGAAAAAACAGGAAGGAACAAAATAACTGTAGGAAAATGTATAGATATCCTATGTTTCTATGTGCTTAGTATTAAGACGTGATGGTTGGCGCGTGTGGCGCTGAACCTGCCTCGCGGCAGACAACCAAGAGGAGAGAGTATTAAGAAAGAAATTATTGAAGTGATATTGCCAAAAACTTTCCTTCCTCCTTACAATACCTGCTCATTTCCTTAAAACTTATGTCATTCATTTACCCCCGATGTCCTTCCTCAGAAAAATGTCTGAAAAATTAAATCTGGGGCACTGAAGACCTTAAGTTAAACCTACGACGACACGCCTTGCAATTATTAAACCTAAGCCTAAAGGTGTGTATGTGCTACCTACACACTGGACACCACAGATATTGCAATCGATTAAGTACACAAGATTGGACGATTCACGGTTAAGCAAATAGTTGATCTTATATTCTTTGCCTGTAGTGCTAGACTATCGCTGCTAGACATGATTTTACACAATTGACATCTGTAATTTTTACAACTCCAACTGTTATTGTGTCCCTATCTAGCCTACGTACCTTACCTATTTGTTGATTAACTAAACACTCTCCATACCCATATTCTTAAAACATCCTTGAGGTTCTTTCTTTAGACTGCTTGCATCGATGCATGCCTTAATTTGTAATTATTCTTTCACAAGTTTTTTCTTCCACCTTATCTCGAAAGACTTGCGCTTTGCAAAAAGGAAATGTTCAATTTTTATCTGGTTTATGCGATTAGGAAACCTGCATTTTTATTTCTTTATTGATAGACGAACTGTGCAAAGCATTCTGTCCCATGTGCAGTCACTGTAACATTAATGACACGATTTTATGTTTTCGTCCATTATAGGGACGATTGAATTATCACATGAGAGGACAGTAAAAATTATCCGGTTCTTTATTTGCATCTATATATAGCACAGTACACTGAATTTTCAATCAGAACCTAATTACAGCAAGTTTTATTCTCATACTTAGCAAAAAATGCACCCTTTCCTTCAACAACTTAAAATTATTCTGTAGGTGCCCTTGTGCATATATACTTTGATGGAAGCGTACTGGTTTCACACGGAGGAGTCGAAATGGGTCAGGGATTGCATACGAAGATGATTCAAGTGGCAAGCACTGTTCTCGAGATACCTCACAACAGGATTTTCATCTCGCATACTGCAACAGACAAAGTGCCCAACACGATTGCAACCTCTGCAAGTCACAGCTCTGATTTGCAAGGAATGGCTGTAATGGACGCTTGTCAGAAACTGATGAAGCGTTTAGAACCGTACCGACAGGAAGAGGAGTCATGGAACGACATTGTGAAGAAGGCCTACTACGACAGAGTGTGTTTATCAGCGACTGGTTACTACAAAACGCCAGACATTGGCTACGACATCAAGACGAACATTGGTCGAGCGTATAATTATTACACCTTTGGAGCTGGATGCTCTGTTGTGGAAATCGATTGCTTGACAGGTTTGTCATTCCATGTTTGTTTCACAAAGTTTCTATTTTCTTACCTTTTTTGCATTCAGTTAAAAGTTGAAGTGCAGGTTTCATGATAAGTAGAACCGCATTTTTCGTATAAATATACTTCATGTTTAAATTCTCTAAAGGTTGGATTCCCTTCAACATAAGCTGGTTTTCAAGGGGCCCTCTGATGAAAACATAATTGCAACCAAAGGAAAAAAATTAATGAGCTTCTGATCAAATTGAACTAAATAATCTTCTTAACAATATAACAATATCCCAAACCTACAATAAAAACGAACGCTTGCTGCTAAATAATTTTTTTGACAGAGAGGTTGCCTGCTTTGACACGGCCGACAGGCTATTCAGTATCTAAGCCTAAAATAAAAACCTTTTTGGCCACTTTAGGACCGTCTTTCGGCAACCTTAAATTGATCCCCGTGTTACGAAGGTTCTGTGACGAACAGAGCAAATTTCGGGTGAAAAGGTCACTCAAGAATTGGAGACACATAAAAACCACGGTCTTTGATCCATAAGTAGCCTGTTCGTGAGCGGTCTTCTATGCCAGGTCTTCTATATCAAGGCTGTAATGAGCCTATGATCCTAGCAATGCGTTGAATGAACCAGAGCAGTTACAAAGGAAGCATCAGTACCAAAAGTGGGGCTCCATAAAACCTGTATATAATTTGCAAACTTCATTTTGGAGGAACAGACAGAGACAGGTATCTCTCAAAAGTCAAACTACGTGGTCGTGATAGGCATATAATAAGTTTTCGCAACAATCAGGAAAAGCATGTTGCCTTTAAGCAATGTGTTCGGTTCCCTAAGATCGAGATTGATAGCCTCAGTTAGCCGAATCAGATCATTAGACTGGTATAAAAAGTGGTGACGTCAGCATACATGGACACTTTTAAATCTTGAACTGCTTTAACTCTACAAAATTACTTCCGGTTGGTTAGGTAGGATCTAAACCAAGATGGCCCACATTGTTTGACAACGTAAAGCACGAACTTTCTGCAGAAAATTTTATGATCTACGGTATCAAATGCTTTTTTAAGATCAATGAACATTATGCCCGAAAGCTTTCCAAGGTCCATTCAATTGTACTGTTGACTGAAGGCCCGGAAGGCGGATTGGCCAGATGAAAAGTGACCGTTACCATTCACATAACGGTGCAGCTGATTTGTTGGTAGTTTTTGCAGCCAGATGACAAGCAAGACTGATATTTGTTTAGTCGACTTTCTAGTTTTATCTCTATCTTTGAAGCTCGAAGTAACTCTAGTGTTATGTTTGTTGTATACTTCCGGTTTTGTTATTATTGTAAACGGCAGGAAATTTCCTTATGTCTCCAGCAGAGAAGCATGTTTTTAAAAAGAGCAGTTCAGTTCTTGGTTTTTAGATAAAAAAAGTGAACACGTATCTTTGACTTTTCTCTGAGTCTTCTCTTGTGAGCTCCAAATCGCTACACCAGCAACTTGCCATGAGTCGGAAAAGTTACTTGCTTCAATGGGTGTATTAAACAAGAATGCAAGCAAATTTTCTGTTAAAGGAATTTCAGAAAGTAGCTAGAAATGTTGTCAATCCCGAATCTCTTTGTTGTCTTAACCGTTGCATATGCATACCTGATCCTGTGCACTTCAATACTATTGAAAAGGATTTTGCCTCATGTTTATTAGTTCAATTTTTTCTTCAGCCAAAAGGGGTTTTAGGGCGGGATCCGTTTCAATAAGGATTTACTCCGTACGTATGTTTGTAAACCATATAATGACTACTCGAGGAATCTCATACACTCCAAACTTGACAATGACTCTCTTACATGTTGTAGAAATATGATCAGTGATGGAAGAGTTTGTAGAGGTGACACGAGTTGACTCATCAATAAGTCACTTGAAACTGAAAAGCCCACACAGGTTAAGCATGTGCTTTGACTCATTCTCTATAAGCTGTTCAGCTCTTTTGGTAGTTAGACCACTCTTAGTATCTTTTAAGAGGGTCTTTTCTTTACCCCACTTGCCAAAAAAAGAGAGAACCTTTTTTAACTTACCGAAAGATGCATCAGGATCACTGGGAGGCTTGTACAATCTCATCATCTCATCAAGAGATTGATCTTAGTCGAGTTCTTCCACCCCAACAATATTGGGTAAAAACAGGTGTGCCTTTTTGACAAATTTTGGGTTTAAGTTCAAATGAATTGTAGAATAGCTGCTGACTTTTCTAATGACAGTGTCTTGACAAAGACGATGATTGTAAAAACAGAAATTTCCAAATAATAATTTCTACGCAATAGATTTTTTTACTTTATTTTGATGGTGTCTGACTCCAGCCATTGTTTGTTGCCTCATGCGTGCTCGTTCGCAGCTTAGTTATTTCAAGGCAATATTTGTAGCAAATAACATCGACAGGCAACCGTTTGTTAGCATCAAAATGCATTGGCAGCAAGTCACTCATGTTTACTACCCTTTCATTCATTTTAGCCACGCCCACTGCAAATCACACGGGTTGCTAGTCATGCTTCAACAACGAAAAATGTGACCACACCTCTTTTAAAGCCTTGCTTGACGTTTGTTTTCACCTAATATTGTTTTTCAAGCAATCCTTTCGCTTTTTTAGACTCACTACGATGCTTTTCTGCTGTAGCTTTCAAAATTTCTGATTAAAAGCGATGGCAAGCTGCCATTGTATCCTCTTGCTGAAATCTTTATGAATCAACGTCTGTTACTAACATTTTTCTTCTATTGGAATTTCAATTCATTCGAAACAGTTTAGAAAAAATTCTATTATACAGAATATCTTTACTTCTTTCCCACAGAATCTGTTTCATTTTGCAGATCAAACCTCTCGTCTTCTCTCGGGTAAAAACATTGGGTTCAGTTGGGTCTGTACGGAAGCAATCTCTTGGGACTTTTCCAATTTCAATTTCTTTTTCCTATTGGTTTCTTATCCTGAAATTTAGAACGACCTTCGCTAATCAAAATCTTTAGTGATGAGTCTCTGAAAAAGGAGATATTAGAATAAAAGAATTTTGCAAGGTTTGAAAAAAGTTGGCAAAACGTTGAAAAAAGCAAAACGTGAAAGCCTACTGTACTTAATTAATTGTAGTGTAGCAATTAGCTAAACAATTTTCAAAAATATTCTAGGCGACAATAAAATACTCAGCACTGAAATCGTGATGGATCTTGGGGAGTCTCTCAACCCTGCTATTGACATTGGTCAGATTGAAGGTGCATTTATGCAGGGCTATGGTCTATTTGTACTGGAACAATTCCAACATACACCAAATGGAGTGCCATTGACAGTTGGTCCATCGACGTACAAAATACCTGGTTTTGGTGATGTCCCTGAAGAATTCAACGTTTCTCTTCTCAGTGGTTTGTTACTTATATTTGCTATGTTTTATTTTTTATTTTATTATTTCGGAGAAAACTAGAGAGTGAATTTTATCGAAATTTCTATAACTGACAAGCTATTGCATTAAGAATTTGGATTTACCTTCTTCGTGCTTAATGTTTTACTAATTTTGTTTGCAGGCTCTCCAAACGTGAGGGCCCTCTATTCTTCGCGAGCTGTTGGTGAGCCACCATTGTTTCTTGCCGCATCTGCATTTTTTGCAATCAAGGATGCCATTGGGTATGCTCGTAAAGATGCCGGGTACAATGGAATCTTCAAACTAGAGGCACCAGCAACGGCAGAACGAATCCGCATGGCATGTCAAGATCCGCTGACTGAAATGGTGCCTGAATTTAAAGAAGGCACTTTCCAGCCGTGGTTCATACAAGTCTGATTCGCTTGGACAAGATCGTTTTAACTGAAGAAGATTTTTTGCTATCATTTTTGGTGCGATTAATTATATATATACTGTGTTTTGTACTGCAGCGAACTTGTAAGGCAAATAAATGCTCGAGGTACACAACATGAATATAACGTGGTGTTTCTTTAGGGATTTTTATAGAATAAAGACGTATTTCTAAATTCAAGAATGTGTGTGATGATAAGAAAATGGTTCTCAAGTAAGAAATTGTACCTACCTTGAAAATGACAAAATTGATTACGTAATTAGGTTTTTTCGATAGTATTAACATCCTATGTTTATTCGAATTTTTGATATTTTGACTTTAATCCCTTTAGAAGATTTGTAATTTTGCAGTAGTATTCTAACTAATAGTTTGAAGACAATTTGTCAGCCAATATATTCACTGAAAGTAAGGTTCCGTCTCTATTTCTCTAAAGACTTTCGTCAATTTTATCCATATTTAAGACACCTTCCAGTAATATTTTTTGCTTGGAACCTTCTTGTGCAAGCAAAATTTTGTTTCATCTCAGACCAATAAAAGTAATGAAAAAAACAATGTCAACAACTGTGTGGCAAAAGAAGAGAGTTACTGTGGAGAACTCGGATATTGTTAGTTAATATGGGCCTTCTAAACGTAGAAAATGCATAGAAAAGTTTAAAAGTAACATGGTAGGCTTCGCTATTTTGTGATTTGCTACATTCTTTTGCCCAGGTTAGAATTGGGACACTCAGTTACAAGCCCATTTTTTTCCGAAAGCACCTTGAGTTATTGATCGTGTGCAATATTTTTTCCTTCCGCGCCAATTTTTACAATGACTATGATTCTTGACTGGATGAGAAATTACTCTTCCGTAATGGCGATAGTAGATGTCTCATAAGGATTAGATTTTGGCGTCATTAGAGGAAAGTACCTCCCTCTGAAAATCGTTAATTATTAGTTTTCATCGTGCTGATTTCGAATATCGACACGAAATTGGTGTTTTTCTTTTCGTTTTCCTTCATTTACCACGTGAAGTGTGAAATTTCTCCATTTCCGTGGCGGAGAGGTCTGGAGACAAGTTTCAGGCGCTGACGTAAAGTCGTGGACACGTGTCTCGATCCCCACGAAAACAACATTGTAGTAGAGTGAATCAGAGGAAGAGAATTCGGTTAGCAGTTAAAATTTTAGTTCGCAAATTTCACGACAGCTCTTCAGGAATAACAACAGACTTAAGATCGAGCGACGATGAAGTGTTTGGAGCATGTGGTGATGAAGTACTTGCCCTACCAAAGGCGAAGGGGAACTGCGAAAGTGGCGATGAAGATTAGCCTAGGCCCGATGAGATCCCAGAGGATGAGGATGAATTATCTCCCGCGACGTGCTCGTTTTGTCGGTAGAAATGAGGAAGTAAATAAATAATACGTTGATCCTTGTTTCTTTTCTTGCAATGTAGGCAAAAAATACTCAAACTCAATTTCCTTATTTCTTTATAAAAAGTAAGATACCACAGAGAAGAAGTAGGCTACATATATTATAATCTTTCCTTTTTAAAATCTGAAATAATAAGATGTTACAATTTAATAAATTTTTGCTTTGATATAAAAACGCTTATACATAGTTTGATGTGTAGCACGAAATAGGTCTACCTAATCCACTTTTGGTCTAAAAACTGGTTTGTTTTGTGTACATTGACTAGTATTATTAAATCTTACTGCAATTCAGATTTTTGGACTGATAATTCGAAAATGTCAAATATTTAATAGAATTGCATAAATATGCCTAAAATAGATTAATACCTAAAATTATATCCACTAGGTATCTACAAACAGTGGCCGATCAATAGATGGTTTGCTGGTTTTGGGGTATTTGTGCTGGAATAACTGGACAACTTTAAGTATGCATTTATCACAAATTTAAAGAAAAGAACTTTAGTCAAAGAAGACAAGTGTTTCAAAATTCTGCAGAGAGACAATGAAAATGCAAAAATCAGCTATCCACTACATATACAGTGGAGTACAGGGTTATATACACGGGGTTATTCAAAGGGACCATGTTCAAAATGATCAAAATGTGTAGAATAGTTTGGATTTGATCAAGTTTTTCTCTTACAATGATGGTCCTGTACCACCTGCTTGGTAACATTTTTTATAAATAATCAGAAGAAAATGTTTTACCTTCAAAATAAAATGCTCTTTTAATGTATTTTGTCACTGCCTGTTGTTTAGATACACTGTTTTCAAACTTTGAAAATGAAATTTTTTGGTACCCAATGGTTATATTTTTCTGAAATTTGCTTCAACTCAACATTTTTCATAGAGAACAGTTATGAGATAAAATCTCTGACATATCTTTTGTTAAGATAAGGTCTTTTAATAAACTTGGAAACATATACATCATTTAATGGTTGTGCTTTAAATCCTCCCCCTTTATGTACATCCTGGTATGAATTGTTTTTTATGCCTGGAGTTATATCAGAAAATGCTTTGATATCATGTTCTGTAGACAAAGCATGATAAATCATGTTTAAAGGGGGTATTTCTGAGGTGGGGGACTACTTTTGTCTTTTTCAGCAAATGGAATTGTGTAGATTCAGCAAGTCTCATGGCTTTTCAGCTAACAGAAATAGATTAACCATAGTTATGTCCTCTGACTGCTGGGCACAGGACCCCCATTCTGAAACTAGTGAAAGGGGTATTTCTGAAGTGGGGGACCACTTTTATCATTTTCAGCAAGTCAAATTGTGTCGGTTTGCCAAGTTTCATGGCTGTGTAGTTAACAGAAATAGATTGACCAGACCACCTATTCTGAGTACTGGGCACAAGTACCCCAGGCTGAAAATAGCACAAGGGTTTTTTCCCAAAATGGGTCTATATTCTATCTTGTTACGCATATCCAATTCTGTATTTTCACCAAGTTTCGTGCTTTTATCACAATTTCCACGATTGTTACCTGTCATGAACCTTACCAAACTCACTACTACATTACACCAAAACATCTCTTCGTGTCCACCACTTTACGTCACAAGGTCACGTGACACAGTGGTCTGACCGCGCTCTCGCTCCGCCATCGATGAGGGCAAATTTCGACTTTAAAAACTTAATAACTTAAAAACTACATAACGTATTAAAAAAATTCAAACGGTTTTGGAATCAGCACGGGAACCTTTATCAGTGGTAAAAAAATCGTTTTTCACTTCTGTTCCCCTTTAAGGAGTGCATCACGACAGGGACGTAAACAAGTGGCTATTTTTGGGGTGTCGCGGATGGTTGAAAATTCCAACTTTACCTGATAAATTTTTTCTTTTAACCTGTTAATCTTCTGTACCTACTAAATTGATTTTTGGAAATAGCCTTATGGCTTGTTCCAGATTTCTAGGCTCTGTTTAATTACCAACATTTTACTTATAATGATTAAGCATAAAAGCACTAAAGAAGATAAAGGAAATCTCTGAATTTTGATTAACGTACAAAGTACATATAATCTTTTTGTAAGATGTAAAGCAACATCAAAACCATACCAGTCTAGATCTTGGATATGTTTAATGATAAAAATTAATATTCTTTCAAGTCAATTAACAGTAATTCTATTCTTTTTCTGCTTTGCCCATCTTGAAGCTATTTGCTGCAGATCCGTTTTATATAAAATATCTTTTTCACAATATAGAAGCATCAAAGAATTTACCATTTCATCTTTTGTTCTTGATCGAAGGAAATTTCTTACAATTTTTAAAGTGCTAAATGTCCTTTGCTTTTTGGGACTGAAAAGGGTGATCTGAGGGCAAGTACATATGCCCGATTCATAAGAAAAAACACTCGTCTTTGATCAAATACTTTTGCTGCCGCTTCTTTGATCAATGTTTTGTGGCTTCTTATCACCTTTATCATAGCAATTTATGATTAGATTTTAGGAGGTCTACAAAGTGCAGGGGGAGCTTAGCATACACCCGTTAAGAAGCGTTGAGAATTTCTAGCAATGAAAGATTTTCAATGTCTTCAATTGAATTAGCTACCCGTTGTTTCTTAAAAAGTTCCCGCTTTCAATTGTTCTGATCAATAGAAACAGGGAATGATTTTTCAAAACTTCAGGCTCAATCAATACTGATGGTAAAATTTAAACTTCTTATCCAGAAATTCACCTGGCCTGTTTAAAATAACCTAACTCAACTTAACCCCTTTCAAAAAGGAAACAAACGATGCAATGGTGCAATTTGAGATCCAGTGGTGACAGGGATTCACAATTAAAAACGATTAGGAGTTGTGCCTGCTCCAGAGTTTCAATTTTAATAAGGTCTAAGATTATCACATTGGAAGTCCCAAAATCCTAAGCTATAAAATTCACATATTTGGTCATAATAGTTGGAAAAAATTCCAAGTGAACTTTTAAGATTTCCAACTAAAATTGAATTTTCCAACCTTTGGGGGGGCGTCACGCCCCCGTACCCCCCTGTTATTTAGGTGCCTGCATCACGATCACAAATTTTCAACAGATTTTCAATTGAAGTACAGTGTACAAGTAGATTTTAAATCCAGCCAATTCATTCCTGATAGTTCCCTCAGGCTCAATATTGCCGCCAGTATTGTTGCAAAATTGTTATAAATTATTTGGAATGAAAGAGTGTCCAGAATGATATACACCGTCGCAAATTTTATCCTTTGATTAATTAATCTAATTTGATGCAAGCAATTATTTTCCGTCACTAGAACCCAATCTCCTTATGAATTTATACGAGCAACGCGTGGCGTTCGACCTTCAACCTGTGGGTGTTTGATCTGATTGTGACAGTAAGAGGAGCGAAAATGTCGAATTTGAAGCCGGTATTTCTTTATTTTACTTTTTTTGTATACTTGTTAACTTTGAAAAAAGTTTATTTATCTCCCTGCTTTTCTATTTTAGTAATGGATAGCCTCTGACCTAAATGACCTTAGGCCTTTGCACGTGCAGGGGGGATCTCAGGAAGATGCAATTATTGCCAATAATTTGTCGGGAACTACTATTGTTCCCACATATGAGCCAAGTATTTTTGCGGATTTTAGAAAAGAATTGACTTCTCTAACAGGGATGTTCAATGACTTTATTGACTACGATAATATGTATAAAGATCCCGTAGAGTCCTCGTTTCCGTGTACCCAAACTGAAAGAATTGAGTGAGAGTAATACTCCGCGTGTGTTGTCTGATACAGCTGATAAAGTGCAGAGTGACTCTCTAAGGCACAAGGAAAGTTTTGATGATGTCTCTGTTTGCCAAACGCATAATTCTTCTGAGCACGGTATCGTGTCTCGTAAAAGACGTTACACGGAAGCGTCAGTGGCGGCTGGCACGAAAATAAGATGGTGCTAGTAAAGCAAAAAAATTGTTAGCAGAGCCAAACAGCTAGATGAAGGGTGGCGCAGGGGCGTGGTCCCTGGAAAATGTTTGTTTTTAAAGCTAATATGGCCAAATTTTCTTTTAATGGTGGGTCAAAAGTTTTCATACAATACCTTGGTTTTTCTCATGTCATGTGATATTGCCAGCTTCAGAGGTAAAATCGCCTCGCAGCATTTTATCACTAGAAAGAGGAATCTAGTACTGCGAACATTTTTTCATTGTTGGATTGTCGAAAGACAAACGGTTTTACGTCACGTTGAGTCACAAATGACAATGGGACAGACTTCTGCATTACTGGATGAAGGAGGTCTAGTACCCTGGTGTACATAAAGCTTTGTCTTTTATCTGCTCGAAGAGATCAAACGCTTACCTGATTGATACTCGACTTATCCATGTCAGCAATGAAAGAATTATTATTTACCTTGGCCACACTCTGAAAGCAACACGGTTCAAGTTTCATCAATCCCCTTCCCCAACACACAAAAGCCTCCACCACCCAAAACCCAAACATACAACATGCCCCCTACAGAGATGTGCCCCCTACAGAGATGACATGTCTCTAGCGAGCCAAGTGCCCAGATATCTGGACCCAATGTCATTCACTACAAGACCCTTTGTTTCCTCTTTTATAATAAGCAATAATAAATATAAATGGCTGTCTGTGCAAAGTGCCAAGATATGTGGGCCAAATGTAATCAAGTGCCATTTGCTGTGTAGCATTGCTTCACCCTTTGCCAAGTGCCCATGCATTTTGAGAGATATTTTAGATAGGGTGATAGATTACTCATAACACCATGGTTTGTTCTTTTTTAATGTAGGGAATATCCGCAATATTTCTTTGTTTTATGCTCCCTTAAAAAATAATTATTTTTCTTCATGAAGGTTTTTTTAAGTGTTAATTGGATCAGCAATCTTTAGGAGTGCTTTATTGTTAGTGAATTGCTTATCTTTTCTGGTTTAATACTAGTAAAAGCTACCAATTTGTGCTCACGCTTTTGAAGGAATAAGAAGGCTGGAGACAAGAACATGTTTATGAAAAGAAGGGTGCAATTGAAATAACTTGAACAATATTGAATTAAGTGAATGGTAACATAATGATAAAATGCAGAACAAATATATTTTTGTAACCTTTTTGAATACTAGGAATTTCACTAGTTGATTTGTAAGATTTGGAGTAGTGCATACATAAAGAAAAAGTGAAATGCAATCCTTGAAAGGAGATGGTCTCAAATGGGATAAAAGAGGAACCTTTGGTTGTAAATAATAGTTACAGTTGAAAACAGTTCATAAATATTGTTATTTTCAGTTCGACCAATTGTCAATTAGTAGAAATTCTTGTGCAATATTTGAATTCAATTGGTTCCAGCAAATGATATAGATTACAACGTAGAAATTGCTTATGTTTGCTTGATTTTGGCAACTAACCTCCAAGGTGTGGTGATATGTGCATGGGGTTATTCAGTCAAAAGTTTGGGATCATTTTTCAGTTGATAATGAAGAATTGCATTGTGTTCTTGTTGATGTGCCCAAAGTATGTTGGTTGATATTGGGAATACTGTACAGTCTTCTGCCTAAACTGAACGGATGTTGGTAAAATTGCCATTAGTTCATGGCAAGAAGGATAAGGCATTGAAAAAAACAAACAGCATCCATATGATTTATTTGTATTCAGAAGATTAGTAACTAACAAAACAACAGGTAAATGACTTAAAAAATAGTTAAATCTTTGTAATACAGGAACATAATCACAGCTAAATGTATGGGGTGTATTGGATCAGGGCTTTAAGAATGACAAAATTGTCAAATTCTGGTCAGATATCTGTACAATTTAGAAATTGCTGTGTAATTTCTTGCATGAGGAATGCAGTGAAATTTCATTAATGGTATGTGGGCAAAAATAGATTTATTTTATTGGATTCCAATGAAAGCTCTACTGATACTGAAATCAGAAAATGAAGAACTTCATAATCTCTAGAATTGCATAATCTGCTTGGGTTACCTCGCAAGCTATGGATATTCTAAACATCACTATGACAGTACTTAAAATTGAATCTAACTTTTGTGAAATGTTTACATGTACATAATGTGTTAAAAATGTTTTCCACTCAGTAGAATTTTTCAAGTGGATGAAATTTTGCAAAATTTAATATTCCTTCCATGTAAAATTCAAAGTGACATTTTCTGTCACAAACTGAAATTTGCAGGTCAATTGGAAAATTCTACCAAGTGGAAATAATCCTTTTGCAACAACAGAAAAAAACAACAGCAGAATGCTGGGTGACTCAAAAAATTTCCCTCTGTTTGGAAAATGATTCCAGCATTAATGTGTAATATATACAAAATAAATGATGGAAGTATTTCATGTACCAATTTTGAAAGTTGTGGTGTTTTGTCAAACTCAATAGATATATACCAGTAAAGCCAGAAAAAGGCCCCTGGATGAAACACTTTAAGGGTATTTGAAATCTTTGACAATGTTTTGAAAACTAGCATGAGTAATGAAAAGAACAATTGAAACTGAGATGGAAAATGAGACATATAACTTATGTATTGAAAGGGGAGTATTGAAAACAGTAGAAGTGCAAAGCAGCATTTCTGTGTGCTTTAGGGCATTTTCTGGATGCTATAGAATAGTAATCTTTCAAATCTTTGAATTTCACACTGCAGAGTTACTCCATTAAAAATTTATCAAAAATGTAAAACATATACATACTTGAGCATTGCAACTATTAAAAATCATATTGCTGATTATAGTGCAAGAAAATTTGCTAGAATGATCTTTTGAACAGGAGGGATTATTTTGGGTCAATAAAGTAAAGTATATGCAAAAGGTTTAATTGGGATCCAGCTTAACATGTCTTTCCATTGCAGTGACAATATTCTTTGCATTGTGTATAAAATCAACTGATGTAGAAAGGAGAAGTTTTTCTTCAAGATCAGTTGAGTTCTCCTTGAAATCTTTGAGCACATCGACTTCAAAGAATGATGGCAAGAAATCTGGCTGAACTGTTAAGGTTTTCACAGTGTCCCCTTTGGACAAATCTAAAGTGGCAGTGAATCCGTGAAGGCAACTTATATCTCCTCTCCAGCATAGGTTTCAAATCTTTGATTGGCTGAGCGATCTAAATTCTTCATACCCCATTAGCCAATCAGAATTCAAGAATATGACAACAAACGTGTCTCGCAACTAGATTTAGGCCTGTTTTGGATGTTTCTATCATTACCCACACAAAAATAAACGTTTAAAATGTGCTGAAAGTTAACCTATTTTTTTTTAAAAATTGAATCTTTAATAAATTTATGAGAAAACTGCCGTTATTGTCCTATTCTTGAATTCTGTCTTAAATCTTGAATCGCTGAACTCCACTGAGAGAAAATGCAGGCAATCTTTCTCTCAGAATAACTACAATTGTACAATTTCTTTTACGCTCAGGTACTTTATGCATGTATTTTAAAGCCTTGAAAATCGATGACAAACTCACGTCAACTGATGTTCACTGCTACAGCCTTTTAAAAGCTGACGCCATTCGCCAACGATGAAAAGGGCGGGAAAATGAAATATGTATCATTTACGAAAATTACTTTGCTGTGCTAAACATTTTATTTTCTCACATTTTCTTTGATCGGGTATGCTCTTGAATCTTTTTCAGAAAACCAGAAACTTTCTATACGCAGAAAAGGTAATTTCCATAAATCAATGCATTTTCATTTTCCCGCCCTTTTCATCGTTTACGAATGGCGTCAGCTTTTAAAAGGCCGTAGCAGTGAACATCAGTTGACGTGAGCTTCTCATCGATTTTCAAGGCTTTAAAATACATGCATAAAGTACCTGAGCGTAAAAGAAATTGTACAATTGTAGTTATTCTGAGAGAAAGATTGCCTGCATTTTCTCTCAGTGGAGTTTAGCGATTATTTCCGTCATCGATATTTCGGTCAGTAATACATCAGCATCAATGCCGACAAGAAAATATTTTAACAGTGGCTTGTAAAGGTAAGTTCATATTTGTTAAATAAGTGGATAAAGCAACCTTAAAGGATTAAAAACTGTACTTTTTATGTTATCCCTTCCCCCTAATTATTATAAGGGTTTGAAAGGGACAGTTTCAAGCCTTTGTAACTGACGATCGCGGAAGGATTTTGACTGAGTACAACGGCAGTTTTTTCATAAATTTATTAAAGATTCAATTTTTAAAAAAAAATTAGTTTATCTTTCAACACATTTTACACGTTTATTTTTTGTGGGTAGTGGTAAAAACGTCCAAAACAGGCCTAAATCTAGCTGCGAGACACGTTTGTTGTCATATTCTTGAATTCTGATTGGCTAATGGGGTATGAAGAATTTAGATCGCTCAGCCAATCAAAGATTTGGAACCTATACTCTCCTCTCCTCGATAATGCTCAAAGTGTGGCGCACGGGGTTCGAATCAAACTTCAAAGGTAAGTCTTTGTCGGCTCCAGTCTTTGTCGGCTCCAGTCTTTGTCGGCTCCAGTCTTCGCTCCGCTCCAGTCTTCGCTCCGCTCCAGTCTTCGCTCCGCTCCAGTCTTCGCTCCGCTCCGGTCTTCTTGGGTCCAAGACTCCCATAATCGTCGCCATTTTGTTGACGAATCTTGCTGACTCATCATACAAAAATCAAAATCAAGCCCCTAACAAAATCACGTGCCTGCAGCCAATTAGATACCCTTGCTTCGCGGGCAAAAACTTCAAGACATATGCTGTAGTAACTTCCAATTTCCTACTACAGGAGGCAGAATTTCGCTTAGTCGGGTCCCCATTATGCTTATTTCAAAGGGAAGTTTCAAGTAGTTTTGGAAATTGGTGGTGAGTTTTAAAAATCTCATTAAAGAAGGTCGCTAAATGGCAATTCCCTGTTCGAAAGGACAAAATTTTATATAAACCCATCATAGGTTTTAACCATGACTTAATTGGATTAATAGTACTATTTTTCGCAAGGGCACTAATTTCATGTTTTGGGGTCCTCGTTTGGCATCAGGTGAAAAATATCAGAGTACTTTTTTGAATAACGGCTGGTTTTAAAACCTCTCGGCGTGCAACTTTTGCTAACTGACGATTTTATGTTTAAAAGATAAAATTTCTATAACCCCTTCTTACTTGTTCAAAGGTAAAGAAATTCGCATCAGTGGGGTTTATTTTCGTTGAAAAAGTTCAATTCGAATCAAATTTCGAAATCAACTGGCACTCCATTCTTGGTACATCCTTTCTAACGTAAAATGCTCGTAAAATTGTCAGTAAGAGCATAGGTTCCAAATCTTTGATTGGCTGAGCGACCTGAATTCTCCATACCCCATTAGCCAATCAGAATTAAAGAATATGACAACAGGCGTGTCTCGAAGCTAGATTTAGGCCTATTGTGGACGTTTCTATCACTACCAACAAAAAAATACACGTGTAAAATGTGCTGAAAGATAACCTAAATTTTTTCAGAAAAATTGAATCTTTAATGAATTAATGAGAAAACTGCCGTTACAACGTTACACTCTGTTGAAATTCTTCCGCGATCGTCAGTTACGAAGGCTTGAAACTGTTCCTTTTAAACCCTTATAATAATTAAGGGGCAGGAAGAACATAAAAATTACAGTTTCTAATCCCTAAAAGTTGTTTTATCCACTCAATTAATAATTATGCACTTACCTTTACAAGCCACTGTAAAATCATTTCTTGTCGACCATGAGCGATTAGTTTAGACAATGAGATCATGACAATCATAACTTTTGCTCGTACGGTCTCGATTTTTTGTTAGAAAGGTGTCGTAAGCAAAAGGTTTCGATTCCCAAAACCTCAAATCAAAACTTCCACCGAAAAGGGAGAACCGATCTGTGACACAGCAATGTTTTCTTGCAAAGCTTTTGGAAACTTCAGGATTCTGCACTTAAATGCTTCTCCGTACAAAAAGGTGGAGGCTAACGACCTATGTCAAAAAGCCTAACACGCTTAACGAACTTTTGAAATCTTTTTACTCGATGGGACAATTAGGTCCGCAAGCAAGGCAAGTGCCGCCAAAAAAGTTTGTTTTCTGGATTTTCTGGCAGGAAAAACACCGAGATCAGGAAAAGAAAACCCATAGTTACACGGTCTGGAGAAGGCGGCAAGCAGGTGCGGGACCCACCGATGGCGGTGGAGGGAAAAACTTTTCGTGGACCGCAGACCGTGTTCAAGCTAGCATCCCCTTAATTTGCATGTTCACATCTTAGTAAGTAGTGACAAGTGACCCCCAACACACAAATACCCCCTCACTTGTTCGGCGTGTCGGGGACCGGCGGTCCACCCAAGAGCGGAAAGTCTCGGGCTAGAGGGGCTTACAAGAACCCTGAAGTAAAGATAGCCACTGACACCTCAAAAGACTGTCGAGTCTGTCAAGAGACTGACTCGATAATCTTTTGTCGAGTCTCGTAAAAAGTCTCTAAGACTCATGCGTACTTCTTTACAAGAACCCGCCTTTCATACCAAGGCAAACAACTATCCATAGCTATTTGTTGTGAAAGACAATGACTTCAACCATTCTTTATCTTATTACAATATGCGTTTTCATGCGTGCTATTGAGTTTCCTATTGAGTTTGCCCCCTTTTGTTTACATTACCTTGTTTACGTTACTTTTGAGTTGAGATGGAATTTCGTTGAATAACGCCTCAAATGTGCTTTTCTAAGATTTTGGTTTTCCTCAGTTTAATTCTCTCTCATTACAATTTATTCAACAGAATTTGATGGATAAAATACTGCGACCAGAACGTTTTAACGCCGATCCAAGCGACTCTGGAGCTAGGAAATCATGGATTCATTGGAAGCGAACTTCCGAAAATTTTCTCGCTGTTTTAGGGGAAGCTGATATTGATAAGTTTGGAGTTTTGACGAACTTTGTATCACCTACAGTTTATGAATACATAGAAGAATGTACCACCTACGGATCAGCGATCGAAACGCTTCAAAATATTTACGTAAAACCAACTAACGAAATTTACGTCCGACACGTACTTGCAACTCGACGGCAGCAGGCTGGCGAAACTCTAGATGAGTATTTACAGGCTCTCAAAGTGTTAAGCAAGGAATGTAACTTTCAATCTGTCAATGCTGCAAAGTACTGCGAAGAATACATTCGAGATGCATTCATTACGGGCTTAAATTCAAACCAAATTCGTCAGAGACTATTAGAAATAAAACTCTGGATCTAAAGACAATGTTTGATCAAGCTCGAGCTCTGGAATCAGCGATTCGAAGAGCAGAAATCTATTCAGCTCCTCAGCCATTCAATGCCGCAATTCAATTCCCCGAAACAACTACACTCGGCATGCATCCATGACCGACTTAACACAAACAGCCCCAGCATTGGCTGCAACTAATGCGTCCTCTGTGGGAATGCCAAACATCACCGTTCTAAGTGCCCAGCTCGAGATACTATCTGTGATAAATGCGAGAAAAAGGGACACTTTGCAAAAGTTTGCAGAAGAAAACCCGTATAGACCGATGAACTATCGGCTGCACTAACCTTGAAACACTTCAAAAGTCAACTGCTACAGTTGTTTTGAACTCCGACTGGAGTGTCCAAGCCCTCTTTGATATTTATTTATAATATTTATACACAGAAACCCTATCAGCTACCAAGTTAAAAAAAGTAAAGATTAATTTACATATAATTCTGGCTTTCCTAGGGATAGTGGGAGTAGTGAGAGGTACATACACCCAAGCTTAGTACAAGTTGCTGCTATATCTGTCAGTCCTTCAACTAGCACAGTCTCAATGGCTACAACCTCATTGCAAACAAAGACTGAGGGGTTCTGTACGGTCACATTTAATTACCAAGGACACACTATAAGGATTTTCGTCTGTCGGTCATGCCAGGACTATGCTCGCATTTTAATCTGGGACTCGATTTCCAATCTCAACATGACAGTGTCGCATTCAACTATGGTGGTACAAAACCTCCTTTGTCCGTTTGTAGCTTTACTATAATAAACATTGAGCCACCTTCACCATTTACAAGTCTGACATCTGATTGCCATCCTATTGCCACAAAGTCCAGACGCTACTATAAAGAAGATTTAATATTCATTAGTGATGAAGTGCAGAGACTATTTAAAGGCAGTGGCGTAGCGTGACTTTTTCAACTAGGTATTCTCTATTAAACAAAAGGGTGGGGCAGGGTGTGGCTTGATGGAAATAGGAGGGATAATAGAAGGATTAAAAGGACTAGCTATTGACAATTTATCTAATTTTCTTTCTGGTTCGGTTGGCAAGTACTGCACTGTCAGGGCATTACTATGATGAAAACGATACTTTGCTAAAAAACTCAACGCAAATATACTCTTCGAACTCATTCATTGCATCAAAATACCACTAACCATTTCATCAAAATTGAATTACAAATCAAAACGTATCATTGAAAGTCAGTAAAATTTTGCTAGTCGAAGTATGTCCCAATAGTTGTTGTTGATCCTCTAAAATTTGCACTGATTTAAAGAGGAAGTAACTGTAAACACCTTCTCTTGATACCTTAATACAAAAGGGCTTTCGAAAGTTATTCACATAGGGCATTACACGAGTTATAAATATTTTGTGGTATGCAGTGGATGCAGTCTAGACATTTTCTTCATGGCTTAATCGTGATATTTTCAATACAAGTTAATGATTGAAAGAATCGAAGGTAATGAGACGAGACTGCTCAATAAAGCAAATAAATGGGCTCGAATAATGCAAACAAAATAGGCCAACAATATAAGTGAATGCACCAGGCAACTATAAGGATATTATCCAGGCCTATCTGCATTTACTTTAATTCTATCACATAATACAAACAGAAGCATCCCTGATTGACAAGCAATTTCAAGAGGCACAGATCTAAGTCAGTGTAGCATTATGTAGAAGCCTACCTTTCCTTTCCACTTTGCTGTTGGTAGGTTAAGATTAGGGGTCAAATGAGAGAATCATTATTAAACAATAATACGGACATTGCAATAGCTTTGAATGAAGTCATGTTTACTGTTTTCGATGAAGATCCACCACTCCAACCGCTCCGACGTCCATTAACTGTTTATATCGATCTCAAAACGAGACTATTTTGAACCAACTTTGAGGCTGTACGCTGCATATTTCTCAGCGTACAAGACCATTGTTTTAGCTGATTAACGGCAAATATTATTCATGGAAAGGAGCATTTTGATTGGTTAAAGTATTCATGAGTATTCACTACGTATTCATGACCGATCTCCATTCAACATGAAGTAACTCAATCTTCAAAATTAGCTTCAAAGTTCTCCCAGCTTCTCTATGCTTCGCAGCGTTATTGTTTCCATGAATTTCGTGATATTTTGTACTTATACAAAATGTAGAATATCGAAGGCAACGAATTCAACCAGAATCAATAGCCCCAAAACATTTTTTAGTTATTACAATTATACGTCGTATTAATATTTTTTCTGAGAAATCTCAGGGTATTCACTGAATACCTTGAATACCCGGACGCTACGCCACTGTTTAAAGGGCCACTCCAGCCCAAAAAAATTTTGCTGAGATTTTGCATAAATTGGTAGTTAGTCGAGAAAAAGAAGCCATCGTGAAATTTTTTTTAAAAAAGCTTAACTCGTTTTCCAGATATAGACGCTCAAAGTTGAGAATCACCGTAAAATACGACAAAAAAATTTTTCGGAAAAAGCACTTTGTGACGTGTGAAAGGGCTATTGTTTCAACATTCGGCGCTATGGTTACACGTTCGCACTGAAATTCGCACGACTCGGTAGAGGCTTCGAAGAGGCGATTCATGTCGGAATCTCGGTTGTCGTTCTATTTATTTTCCTGCATTGCGATTGATGTTTAGCGGAGGCTTCCAGCCAACATGGACTAGTAATTAAACAAACTTCACCCTGAACTCAAATCCTAATCTTGGCAACGCAGCAAGCTTTTCAAAATCGAATGCTTCACGAATTTTCAGATGAAGGCATTTCTTGTCGTCGTCTCATCTCAGGGATTTCCTGGGAGCTGAATAATAATTGATGTCCTACCGCATTTGAAGAAGAATCCCACTCACAAGATGGAAACTTTCCCGTAAGTCACAATTCATCCTTATTATCATTTGACCATATTGAACGTTTGGCGAAACTCCAGGGTATAGAGGTTGGAGGGGGTTTGGGGAAGGTGTGACACGCACCCCTAAGCAACGCAATTTGTCGCGCTTAGAGAAAAAAGCAAAATGTCACATAAAATAGTACCAAAAGTAGAAGTTTGCTTTTTTGTACCAACAAGGGGGCCTGAGCCTCCTAGCGCTACATCCCTGTCAATTCTCTGTGCACTACACCTTTGCCCGAGGTGCAGATGTGTGAAATTTTCCAGGGTTTGTCTCCTGAACTCTTTGTCTTCATCTTCTACCATGTTTTGCCTTCAATTTTGGAGTTCTGCCTATTTCATCATGAAAATTGATGCACAATTTCAAGATTTTGCCAGGAATTTACACTCTTGGTTTTGAAAACAGATGTGTCATATCCTCATTCTAATGTTTTAAAGGCAGAATATTTATTTGTTAAATTATATTTAACATTGTTAAGTTAAGTTATATTTATTATATTTATGTTAAGTTATATTTGTTAAATTTACCTTTGCTATTCTAGCTTTGATTCATATAAGCATGGCCTATATCATTTAAATTTATCTTTGTTTTACTTCAAATTAATATCTTTATAGCTATTTGCTATAGTAACAGTGGTTGCCCTTTCACCCCTAAATATCTCTTGGATCCTTTTAAATATCTATCTATACTCTGAATGCCCCCGAGTGTCCAAGGTATTGATTTCTTTGATCATTTTATGTTATAATATGACTCTAAAGTAAATATCACTGGTATGTTAGTATTTATCCCTGTCAACATTATTATTCTAGGCATAAAAAAGGTAACAAACTCTTTTATGGATCAGCAGAAAGGATCTTGCCAAAAATACTAAATGGAGGTTGGAGATTATGCGGGAGTGATAACTTGCCCCTCTTTTCCCAGCAAGAGTTACCACAAAGACCTCAACACGTTATTCTGTCTTTGTATTAAAATTTTTTCAAAGGAGTCTATTTTTTAAAATTATCAAAATTTTATAGATAATTTGGTTATATCTATATAAAGTTTGCAAATTCAAAGATATTATTTTAAACTAGTAACAACATATAGATATTTTCTAGAAATTTTGAAATAGATTATTGTTTCATTATACTTGTTTAAGAACATTTCTCACATGCAATTGAAATTACAAATTAGCTAGCTAGTTCACTGGCCTGATTGTATATATTTTTGAATATATAATTCAATGTAGCTAAGTATTCAAATACAAACATACATTTGTTATTCAATATTGTAGCAGGTTAAAATTCTGAAAGCTTAAAGGAGCTGACAAGACCCCTGTAATAGCTGCTCAAGACTCATTGACGATACTTGTCTCTTTATATAGATAAATTTCTGGCCTTCTAAGAAGCATGCCGCTGCCAGGCCCTGTCTGCAATTTCGCTAGGTTCCTGTTGACCCTTTGGACAGCCGATGATACTTGCCACGAAGATACCGAGGCCGACAATGCTTGTGACGTCAATCCGAAGCGCTCCGATAACTCGGTTGAAAAACAACTCAACTCAATGGCCAATTTACAAACGCTAATAGCTACAAAATGGTTAGAGATATGAAAAAAATTAAAAACAGATTAGTTTTCAGGAGGTCTGATTACATCGGCTTCTGAAATAAAAATTTTGGGCTAAGAAGGCATCATAGAGCCTAGCCAGTCTCCATGGCGCCACAGGTCCACAAAAAATATCTAGCCATCGACTACTCTCAGACAATCAATCGATTTACACAGTTCGACGCATTTCAGTTACCCAGAATCAATGATACAGTCAACGAAATCGCACAGTACCGAGTCTTCAGTACAATTGACCTGCAAAGTGCCTACTACCAGATACCTCTGAAAGATGAAGACAAACTTTGTACCGCCTTAAAAGCCAAGGGTAGGCTTTATCAAATTACCTGTCTCCATTGCGTCGTAACGAACAGCGTGGCATGCTTCCAAAGAGAAATGATGAGATTTGTTCAAAATAATCTAAAAGCAGTGTTTCCTTATCTTGACAATATTGTTTTGGAAGCTGCTCGGAAGACTAACCTTCCATTACTGGGATATGTCATCGAGGAAGGTATAATTTGTTCAGATCCAGACCGGCTAAAGCCTCTGCTAAACTTCCTCTCCCACGAAATTCAAGATCTCTGAATAGGTGTCTGGGACATTTCTCTTATTATTCTCAATGGGTTCAAAATTTCTATGATAGAATAAAGCCCATAACCAGTCACAAGGGTTTTCCTTTGTCTCAGGAAGCACAGAAGGCATTTGAAGAATTAAGATCCCGTTAACACGAGATCGGTTCCAAAAAGATTCGTATACATTTGAGTTCACTTTCTCCTGTTCACACGAGAATAAAGCCTGTTGAATAAAGCCTCAAATGTGCTTATCTAAGAATTTGGATTGTCTCAGTTTGATTCTCTCTCATTACATTATAGTAAAGAACGTTATTCAAAAGTTTAATTGATTGATATATATTTGGTCATGGATGAAATGTTCTACTGTATCTGGTAAATTGTATCTTAGCTGGAAGTCACCATGCGCCCCTCCTCGTTATTTCTAACAAAACTATCAAAATTATTTTTCTATCAAGAACAAAACTGCTCACCCGTATACGACATAATACCAGCCCATGGGTAGCAGAAACGATATGCCGAGTAATGATTTTGCCACAGATGTTATACTGCTGCAATAGCATGCTCGGTATGTCAAGTACACAACACAGTTTGAAAGAAGCCGGAATCGAGTCTTAGATATCATCGATGGAAAGAGCCAAGGAGTGGAACTACCAACTGTGCATCATGCGAGAAATAAGAAATGCCTAGTCGTGATGTTTAAATGCCAAAATTGACTGGCACTTCGACTGTTCAAAGATTATTTCAAGAAAATTTTACATCAAATCTTTTGCTCCCAAAAGTTCGCACAGAAGCTGGTGCACCTGAAGACATTTCTGTTTCAGGGATCAAAATTACATAACAAACTACCTGATGCGTTGAAACAAGAACAGTCTATAATGAATTTCAAAAGACAACACGGTCAACTTGACAGTAAATTTTAACTTTTAAATATGTAATTTTTCGATATTTTCAAATTTGATATTGTAATTCGACATCTTTTAATCTTCTTTTTAACTTTAATTTTAACAGGACCTTGACTGATAGCAGCTTCTGAGCAAGCTTATCAAGTTTATTATCCTGTATAAATGTAGATTATTATCCATCCAGAACGGAGAACCGAGCTGTGACGCAGCAAGGTCTTCTTGCAAAGGAAATCGAAGCTCTCGGAAACTTCAGGATTCCGCACTTATCGCTTCTCCGCACAAAGAGGTTGCGGTTAACAACCTCTCGCAACCTGTTCACTCGATAGGGCAAACCAGTTCACTTCCGCCGAACAAAGTTTGTCTTCAGGTTTCTTCAGAGGAAAAAACATTTGTAAAACAAAACCCATTCACGAAAGGTCAGCCGCAGCCGGCCCTTGCACGCGACAGGACCGGATCCACGCTAGGCCTTCGGGGGGAAACTACACTGATCTATAAAAAGTCTTGGACGAGCTTCTAATGTGACCAGAGGGTCGCCGTTCGAGAAGAGGGCCCCAGAACAGCCCATGCAAGGAGACGGCCTTCTCTGTCACCCCTTGCAATGTTTTCAGCTGCTCTGGCCTTGTTTTTTTTCAGCAATCAGACACACAGCATTGAAGCTCTCGCTTATCCATATCGTTGAAGTATTGGTTTTGAGGAATGGCTTCCCGCTGCTGTTTGGGGCCCTCTTCCTTTTGAAATTAAATGGGTTTCAAACTTTGGTGTTTCAAGACAATGCGAAGCTCGTTCCAGTCTTTTTTATAGATCTGTGGTGAAACTAGCGGTTAGCTAAGTGAAGTGAAATAGTAAGTTGTTTTCCTTTGCTGTGCAAGGTTTCAGGTTTGTGCTCTGTGCAAGGTTTGAGGTATGTGCTCGTCCTACTATTTGATTCTACTTATTTTTATTTTATTTTTGCCTCGTGATAAATAGACCTGTAACAAGACTACTTGCATCCTTCAGATATACACTTGTGGTGTATGGACACGTTGTCAATAATGGCGGCTCACAGTGGCCAAGGGCGATAAATCTTCGAAACAAAATTACTAGGTGAGGGGGGCTTCGTTGCGAGTGACTTCGGCAGGAAAACAATGCGTCATTTCAATGGCTTTGGAGTGAAAATAAATTTGAAGTATTGTTCTACTGTTTTGAGAACAAAAAATACGGGGAAACATTTAACCAATATTCAAATTTGAAGCAGTGCTTAAATGTTTTACTGAATTTCCTACTTTAAACAGCAAACTAATCATTTAATTTTACCACTGCGGAAATTTATCGCCTTAGACCCTTGGTCACTGCGAGCCGCCATTTTTAACTACCGTTTCCATACTTTTATACCCTAAGTGAACAGATTGGAAAAATGTCTGCCGCTGGTCATAGTATCGCAGGCTTATGTGCACATTTGCAGGTTCTTCAATATCTGACACGTGCCCAGAAAAATCATTTGACTGCAACCCTCCTCTAGATGTACGGTCAGTTTTTTTAGACATTTCGAAAGCTTTCGATAGTGTATGGCACGATGGATTGATCTACAAATTACAGCAAAATGGTGTCTCTGGGCAGTTTTTATCACTGATTCGCAGTTTTTTAAAAGACCGCATGCGGCGTACTGTCTTGAATGCCAAAACATCACAATGGGGCAAAATTGGTGCTAGAGTTCCACAGGGGTCGATTTTAGGTCTCCTTTTCTTCCTTGTCTACATCAATGATCTGACAACAGATCTCAAATGCAATGTTAAAGCCTGGTTCCCACTTGTCGTAATTTGTGTAAAAATCAGGGAAGTCGGCGACTATCCTGCTTCTTACGTTTCTGCATTCAATGTGTTTACACTTGTCATGAGAGTCGCCGACTTACATGCTTCGTGGCGCGCCAACTAAAGCTTAAAAAAGCGCGGCAATCAAGAAATCATTCAAATCTTCAAGATGGCGGCTGCAAACAATCGAGTGATACTATATGGCAAACTTCTGATGCTGATTGCCATCATCCGTTCGCGGATAGCCCTCAGCAAAAAGAAGACAAAAACGAAAAGAAAACGGAGATTTTGGGTACGACCTCATTCAGGGGCGGATCCAGACAAAAATTTGACATTCTCAAAACCCATTATAACCGACCGACCACGCCCATTTCCCGGAAACGCCCAATAAATTGTTTTCTGTCTTTTATAGATGCAATGATTAAAATTATTGAAATTTTAAGAGGAGGAATAGAAACAAACAATAAGAAGTGGCAGACACCCAGGGGGATAAAGGGAGGTAGTTGTCCCCCAACATTTTGGGAAGACAGAGGTCTTTTATTCTAAAAAGAATGGACAAATGTGATGTCATCTTATCAAAAAACTAGGCTTGCCCCCTCATATTATTGCCCAAAAAACAACAATGATGCAACATTAAAGAATTGCTTAATAAGCATAGCAACACTAGTAATTGAAAATTGGGTAATGCAGGGAAAAATAACACAAAGATCAAGACAAAATGTTTGTGGCAAATTGTGCTTGGTTTTCTAATGGTTTAACATGTGGAATTTTATAGAAAGAAGTGTAGTTTTGTGGACATCCAAATTATTGATAAAAATTTAAGGACACAAGATTCATCATAGAAGAGAATTATTAACGAAAGTTGACCAATGAAATTACTAAAAATGCAGGCACTTTTCAGAGCATACAAGCCACAGAAACTTAGACAAAGAATTGGGTAAAAACCTTTTCTAGTAACAAAAATAGACTGCTAAGGCTAGTCAACTTCTTTCTGGATGCTAACTCTCTTAAATGCATCATATCTTTTGGCATATGATAATTGCACTGCTTTAGAGTAAAATATTTCTGCATCAAAGTCAAAGTCTGTATATCTGTTTCAGATTTGTTGTTCATCATTTGGAAATACATGGAAGAAAAATTACTTTGGGATGACTGTCTATTTAGTAGATCCATCAAATTTAATTTTGAATCTTCTGAGGCCTGACACTTTATACTAAACTTCCCTTTGCTTAGCTTTCAGAAGCACTTTTTTTGCCAAAGAAAATGAATATAATTTTTTGGCTTCATAATCTTTCCTTCCACAGATGCAATAAACCTTGTTCATTATTGGCTTAGTATCAATGTTTTTAAAATAGAACACAACAGCCCATCATAGCACAAAACTTTTCACCAAAGGCTGTGACAACAAATCCTATTCTGCTTGGTAACAATATCAGTAACAAGAAAGTAAGAAAGTAATGACTTCTCTAACTGTTAAAATCTCTCTTAACTTTTTTACAGTTAGTTCTTTAAATTAAATTACAGCAAAAGTGAAATTCATCTTGCAAATAAATAGCATGTTATCTAAAACAAATTAAATAGCTATTAAAACAAACTAAAATGTATCCATAAACATTATATTACAAAGATAGACAACCATTGAATCATTGAATGAATATTCTAGTTCTAGTTAAATTCAGAACCACCTGAGTCTCTAGGCCCAGTAGCAGCAGCACAAAATGGACCCCTATATAAAATTTATCAGCTGTACCTTAAAGTCTGACCTCTCTTTCTTTCAACAAGGTTCAGTCAGCAAAATGAAACAATTCTTTTGCCACAATAAATGTCGAAGGTTGTGTGTTACGATCTGGTTCTGGAGCCTAGGCCCTCCCGGCAGACTTGTTCCCTATTCCCTAGTCAGCGAAAAAAATACTCCTCGATGGTATCCAAAGCACAATCGGTCAATGACTGTTTCAATTCTTCCAATACATCCATACTTGCAATGGGTTCTTGAGAAATTATTCTCTAATCAAGCACAACCAAGCACTGCCACTGCCACTGCCACTGTAGTCTGGAGTCGTTTGTGGATTCTTGATCACGTGAAGTTTGTGTTCCCTGTCAAATTTCGCTACTTGGTGGACCAGCCCACTAACTTCTCAAGATTCTCAAACTGCGACGTAGGCAAGACCTCACAAAATAAATGTTAAACATATGCCAGATATACCCTAATAAAAGTGAATGGGTTTAATACGTCATTCTGGCGAATTTTCCTCTCGTTAAAATCTTTCAGGTCGACCTCTTCTAAGGGACAAAAATGAATTGAAATTCTCTGCGTGCGCATGCAGAAACTGCGTGCAACTTTCTAAAAATGCGAAGGAACTTCTCAAAATGCATGGCAACAGTCGATAAACATTCTCAAAATCATGCCTAGATACAGGACGCGGCGCAGCCTCTTACTACTCTCCTGGGTACTAGGTTCAATGAAGGAGAATTTGGTTTTTCATCGGAGAAGATCTAAAATTGTTTCGCAAAGGTAAAACGGAGTAAAATATACCAAATACTGCGATGGTGTAGAAATAAATACCTAAAATACATAATAAAAAGATGTATGCTTATCTTGAATCTTAAACCTGAGCTCATTCATTACTTTTAGTATTTTAATTAGAATAATCAAACTCAATTGAGAATGTTGAGAATGTCTCGATCCACCCCTGACCTCATTTGATGGAGAGAAAGAACCACGGACAATTTCATACACTGTTCAGCGAACTTAAAAAGTTCGACAGGGAATATTTTTTCAGGTATTTAGGCCAAGTTTATGCATGATAATTTTATGACTTTTTAGTTGTTCATTTTGCAACAAAGTTTTGAATTTTGTAACTTAGTATTCCCTGTATACCTATAACATCCTATCGATAGACCCAACATATATTTGTGGATATAGATGTTATAGATGCACGGAAATTCTTTTATAATTTCCATGAAATCATCGTCGCCTAGTGTCGACTTTTCGGCCAGAGACAGGAAATACTCGTGCTTTGTATCCACCATTATGGTTTGAGAATTGATGTAGGACGCGGTGACTTGGTAACTAGCAAAGTGGCAGTAAAGTCGGCGACTATTATGCGCAGCGTTCACACTGGTCGTAATTCGCATAAGAGTCATACAAGTCGGGGACTTGCCTGCCTCAAATAGAACGCATTTCTATTTGGCAGGGAAGTCGGCGACTTCAGGAACAGCTTATGAAAACACGTTCACAATTGTCGTAAAACGCATATAAAGCAAGACAGTCACCGACTTCCCCGATTTTTACGCAAATTACGACAAGTGGGAACCAGGCTTAAGTTATTTGCCGATGACACATCGATTTTTTCTGTTGCTCACAACCCAAATGAATGCGCTGCAGATGTGAATCATGACTTAGATCGTATCAAACGTTATGCACATGACTGGAGGATGTCGTTCAATCCTGACCCGGCGAAGCAAGCAGTTGAAGTGACATTTTCTAGAAAAAAGATTCCCGTTGATCACCCGCCTATATTCTTTAACGATGAAACTGTCATGAAGGCTGACGAACACAAACATCTAGGTGTAGTGTTTGGCAACCGTCTTACGTTCTCCAGTCATATTCAATCTGCAATCAATAAAGCGAGACGTGGGGTTGGTATGCTACGGTTCCTATCTGATTACCTGCCAAGAAAGACTTTAAACTCTCTTTATAAACTCTATGTTCGGCCCCACCTTCACTATGGTGACATTATTTATCATATCCCGCAGAAAGTGTGTGACTTCAGCCATGAAATCCTCTTACATCGCCAAATGGAAAGAATTGAATCAGTCCAGTATTCTGCTGGCTTAGCTATAACAGGTGCATGGAAAGGTACTGCGAGAAATAAAATATACGAGGAGCTTGGCTGGGAATCTTTAAATGACAGAAGGTGGAGTAGGCGTCTAATTCTCTTCTTTAAGTTCATTAATAACCCTTCTCCGGAATATACAAGACATCCTTTCCACAAATTCGTTTGCCAACTTACGCCCTTAGAAATTTCTGCTGTCGTTGGACGAATAAATGCAAGAACAGAGCGCTTTCAGTCAAGCTTCTACCCAAATTGTTTACAAGAATGGAATAGCCTTG